CTTCCTTAGTTAAATCTACGATTGATTATTGTAATTCACTCTATTATGGTCTTCCTGATTTTACACTCTATCCTTTAAGCAAAGCTTTTAACTCTGCTGCTCGTCTAGTTGCTCGTGTCCCCTTTTTTTTCATTTATCTCCATGTCTTGTTCTCTTGCACTGACTTCCTATAAAATAAAGAATAATTTTTAAAGTTTGCACATTAATGTATAAGTTTTAATCTAAATTATTTCCTAAAACCTAAATACAACCGGTTTACGATGGTCTTCATGTGCTCACCTCTTCTTAAGTCGTGTTAAACATTCTTTTGCTAACCTCTCTCCTTCTTTGACTACTTCTCCATTACTTACGAAGTTCAGAGCGGGTCTCAAGATCCATCTGTTTGCAAAATTCACTTTTCATAATTTTTTTCTATATTTAATGCTATATTTTCCTCCTCCAAAATTCTATGAATGATCACACTTGCTGTATCCTATAACCCTTATAATTGTTAATTTGTCTCATATCACTGATTAATTTTCTTCTTTCAAAACTTCCCTTGTTAATCCTACTTTTAAAAATAATTTTCCACAAGATCTTTCTATGCTATTAAATTATAGATCCATCCTTTATATTTTTATAAGTTTTTCAAAAAAATAGTCTTCAAACAACTCTGTTTTTTTTAATCTAATTCTTTCTTACCTTTTTCGCAATCATTCATTAGGCTTTAAGAAAATAATGATGGCTTTTAACGAAATACTAATATCTCAGCAAGCCAACAGCTAAAAGTTATAAATACATTACTGCTTAGCTACTCGTTACAACTTTCCAAGTAATTACAAACAGCTCAAAAAACTACACTTATTATTTTAACTATTTGAAAAAGCGACGCTGATAATTATATAAGAAACGATAAATGAACTAGCTTCGATTGTTATGGCATAAATTTTGATGCAAAATAATCCATGATATTGCAATGAAATTTTTTTCGTAAATTTCATTTGACTTTTTTTAGTAATGAATTTCTGGTTTCCCCCTCATTAATAAATATGTCATTTCTTCGTTATTATTAACTTATTGTTTTTATGATAGTTAATATAAATATGAAATTAATATGATAAATAATATAAATACAAAAAAAATTTTTAATTTCATGCTCTTTCTTGTCCATTGTGCCATCGGAACAGCGTTAGTGTTTAATTTTATAATATAATGTTATTTTTATGAGAGGATTAAAAATTACCAATAAATCATTCGATTAAACAAAGAATAATTTATCAATTTGTTAAGCCTATACGACGAAGATAAAATTTTGAATAAGCTGTTCATCACGTAAATAGAAAATTATTGGTCATCAAAAATTTTTTGGCATGTATAGATTTGCGCAAAATTAGGTTTTTTTTAAAAATGCTGTTTATTTATAGCTTGTTTTATAATATAAACTTTTTGGGTGCAAGAAAAATAATTTTAAGGCTTTATGTAAAAGAAATAAATAAGCCTAAGTGATGATATATCATCATCAAGATTGTAAAACTAAATATTCACTTAGGATAAACAAGGAACTAATAAATAGGCACAGTATAAAAATATTTGACCATCTGAGCACAACCACAACATATCAATTTGAAACCGAAAATGGTATAGGAATACCGAAAAAAGCTTTTCTGTTCTATCATGCATAAAACAAACAAAATTTTGGTTTTGAACTAAAGAAACTTAAAAATGATTTACGATCAACCGTTAGAAAAATCGAAAAGTTAAATGGGAAGTTAACTAACGTCGAACATGCTGTGATTTTCATCAATAATTGTATTTCTGACAGTCTTAATCCAATATATTATTATTATTATTATTATTACGGAAATTTATATACAGCGCTTTTTTATTGTTGAATCTCAAAAGCGCTACTAAATCATAGACAAATAAGACGGACATTCATTGTGCAAATAAATAAGTCTTAAGTTGACTTCGAAATTGTAAATATGATAGGTTAGGGTCACGTAAGTATTCCTAACCATTCCAAACAATCGGGCCAAGAACCGCAAAGTTGCGGGAACCCGTCACCAACTTTGTGGTCGGGATAAAAAATAAATTGCGCTCGGTTGATCGGAAGGAATATTTTGAAAAATGAGATTTGTATCTATCGATGAGGTAGGGAGGTGCTGTATTATTGACACATTTAAACATCAAAACTGCCAACTTGAAGGAAACACGTTTTTCAACCCTCAACCAGTGCAACCTATTCAAAATAGGCGTAACATGATCGAACCACGAACCACCCAAAACCAGCTTGGCCGCACGATTCTGTATTGACTGAAGCTTTGAAAAAGACCTTTTGGTGACACCATAAAAAAGGCCATTGCAGTAGTCTAGTCTGGCCATTTTCATCAATAATTGTATTTCTGACAGTCTTAATCCAATATATATATATATATATATATATATATATATATATATATATAACAACAAACAAACAACACACGTCACACGTTTAGACGACATTTTCCCCGAGATCGGGGGTTGCCGTTTGGCTACCTATGATGAAACCGAAATACCCCTCGACGCCATTCACATCTGTTACTCGCCTCAGTATCACACAACCCCGCTTTCACTATGTTCTTCTCCACCTGCTCTCTCCATCCCAATCGCGGACAACCCATTCCTATCACTCCTTCAACCTCGAACTCCAACGCTCGCCTAATCCCGGCCCTTTCATCCCTTCTCAACACATGTCCACACCACCGCAATCTCGATCTCTTTATCAATGTCACAATGTCCTCATTCAGTCCCATCATCGACATCAGCTCTGTACTACTCCTCCTATCCTTCACTTTAACCCCACACATCATCCTCACCATAGCTCTTTTAGCCCTTTGCAGTACACTTTCCTCCTTTCTCCTCAACACCCAAGTTTCACCACCATATACCATCGCTGCTCTCACAAATGCTTTATATTCCCTTTCTTTCATCTTCACTGACTATTTCTTTCCACACAATACCCCACCAAGTTCCCTAAATTTCATCCATCCCACATGAACTCTAGCCGTAACTGCGCTCAAACATCCTCCATCCGCGTTTTGCTCAATTCCTAAATAAACAAAGCTTTTCATTCTTTCAATACCACCACTCAACCCCGTCCTTGCGTCCGTCCTATTAATCACACCATGAACACATTTCTTACATTTGAACGTGCCTTCCACCTTTTTCAGTGCCCCCCTCACACCACTACATCTCTTATGCACCCACTTCTGACATCCTATACACAATACCGAGGTTAGCCTTCACTCTCCCGTCTCAAAACCCACAGGGGTCTATTTTACTTATCACTCGCTCCCCACCTTTCCCATTCACCATTACCTTCGTCTTACCAACATTAACTTTTAACCCTTTTTTTTCAATAACACTTTTCCATCTGCCAAATTTTAACTGCAATTCTTCCATGCTATCAGCCATCAAAACTAAATCATATTGCATACAAAATCTCAAATAACAACCCCTCCATTATGTTTCCACACACAACATCCATCACAATTGCAAACAAAAACGGTGATAACACTGATCCTTGATGCACTCCTACCTTAACACTAAAAGCGTCCGACATCCCCCTTCCGACCCTCACCTTTGTCTTCGCCCCTTTATACAGCTGCATCACAACTTTAACAAGTCTCTCATTCACTCCTTTCTTCCTCAACGCCCATTCAATGACCTTCCTCGGTACTAGATCAAAAGCCTTTTCTAGATCCACAAAACACATGTTCAATCTTCGTTTCTTCTTTCTATAATTCTCCTGCAACATTCTCACTATGAACAACGCATCCACCTTTCCCCTACCAGGCATAAACCCACACTGCATTTCATTAACTGTCACCATATTTCTCAACCTTCTCTCAAGCACCCTCTCCACTACCTTCATTCCATGCTCTAGCAATTTCACTCCCCTATATGACCCACAATCTCTCACATCTCTTTTGCCCTTATACAACGGCACCAACACGCTGTGTCGCCAATCCTCAGGTATACTTCATCATCAAACATACTGTTTGCAATTCTCATTATAACTTCAATTTCTATCACCCCACTCGCCTTTATATGTTCCGCCGCCACTTCGGAAACCCCTGTCGCCTTACCTACTCTAACTGCTTTCTCTACTTCCTCCATCGTCACCTTCTCTATGGGTCCGTGTGTGACCGCGGATTCCACATTTCCATCCCACTCATTTTCTTCATTCATCAACCTTTCCATTTGGGCTTTCCACACCTGAGCTTTTTCCTTCTCATATATGCACAACTTGCCAGATCCATCCCAAACATATTTATTCCCTATAACATCTTTCCTATCCCTCATTGACTGCTTTGCTACTTTGAACATTTTCCTCGAACTCACATCAAATTCCATTTCCCTCATTAACCTATCTGATGCTTTTGTCATTGCAGTTGCCACTGCCCGTTTTGCAACCTTCTTAGCCTTCCTGTACTCAAACTCCGCTTCCTCCGTCATGTCCCTTCTCCACACCCTAAACCTTTCCTTTTTGACCTCCGAAACCTTTTTTATATTTTCATCCCACCACCACGTCTCACCATGCCTACACTATCCTTTCGTCCTACACTAAACCTAAGACTCAGTACAATATAGGTAGCTCATTTTAAAAATTCTGTCGTTATCCTAAGAATAAAAATAAAATGTCAAATGGCTATACCTTTTGATAAGTTGGCAGATGTAGTTAGTTAAGTGTGAAACAGACTGAAGGCAGATAAAAGCTGATGATGATTTTTCGAGCATGGGTAAAATGATACACTAGTTAGTAAAACCATGAAAGCCGGTGGAATTATAAAAGTGGAGCCTAGTTTTTTCTTGTTTAAACGGGTATATCAGTTGAAAATATGGTAAATTCAAAAGAAATTGGTAAGGCTGAACTTGGTATATGCAGTAATATAACAATGATTGTTTTGGTTATGATGATCTAGTTTGTTGAATTTAAGATCTATCTTTGAATATAATGTTTTATTCTATTTTCCATAAGGCTTGTTTCGTTGGCGTTCCTGGCAAGTGCTGGAATAACTTTCTTGGTATTGGGTTGTGCATTGCCACAGTACAAGTGAGTGACAACAGCTTACGAAATTTATTTTTTCATACATCAACATTAAATAATCAATAGTGTTAGATCTTATATAAAAATCACTCAATGTAATAATTATTTGTTTGATGCTATTTTGCTGTTCTTTTGATGTATTTTCAAGTCACTTTGACTTGTTGTGTTGAACTTTTCAGGTTAACAGGTACGCTTTCCAAGTTTGGGCAGCTTCTTCTTTAACGAAAAATTAAAAAACTCAATTGCAAATTGAAGAACGCCTGTTGTGGTATTTTCAAACAACTGCACACAACCCTATATATATATATACCTTATATACCCAACCCTATATATATACATATATATATATATATTATTAATATTATTATTATTATTACGGAAATTTATATACAGCGCTTTTTTATTGTTGAATCTCATTCATTGTGCAAATAAATAAGTTTTAAGTTGACTTCGAAATTGTAAATATGATAGGTTAGGGTCACGTAAGTAAAGAGGTAAACCATTCCAAACAACCGGGCCAAGTTGACTTCGAAATTGTAAATATGATAGGTTAGGGTCACGTAAGTATTCCTAACCATTCCAAACAATCGGGCCAAGAACCGCAAAGTTGCGGGAACCCGTCACCAACTTTGTGGTCGGGATAAAAAATAAATTGCGCTCGGTTGATCGGAAGGAATATTTTGAAAAATGAGATTTGTATCTATCGATGAGGTAGGGAGGTGCTGTATTATTGACACATTTAAACATCAAAACTGCCAACTTGAAGGAAACACGTTTTTCAACCCTCAACCAGTGCAACCTATTCAAAATAGGCGTAACATGATCGAACCACCCAAAACCAACTTGGCCGCACGGTTCTGTATTGACTGAAGCTTTGAAAAAGACTTTGGTGACACCATAAAAAAGGCCATTGCAGTAGTCTAGTCTGGAAAAGACGAAAGAGTAAACCAAACTTTGAAGAACAGACGTGTTTAGTGATTTTTTGACATTGCGTAATAAACGGAGTTGGTTGGAGCAGACCCTCACTAAATTATTAATATGTAAATCCATCTTTAGGTTTGAGTCAATAATAACTTCAAGACTACGGACAGATGTGGAAAATTCAATGATGTCATTGCCGACACTGATCGATGAAATTTTGACCTCTGACAGTTGCTGCCAAGAACCAACTGGTAATATTTGTGTTTTAGATTGATTTAACTTTAACTGATTTATACTCATCCAAGATCCAATTTCGATGAGACAATCAGTATGAGTATGAATCAGTTAAAAGATAGGAAGCGAAACCACGATAAGACTGAATCAGAGAGAAAAAAATTTGTGGAGAGTTTATACATGAGACGAGTATGATCGACACAATCAAATGCAGCACTCATATCAAGTAATGCCAAGAAAGAAACGCATTGACTGTCAACTGAAGAGAACAACTGGGAGAAAATATCAATGAGTGCAGTTTCTGTGGAAAAATATTGACGATAGCCGGATTGATTCTTTGGCAACAAATTGTTTTTGTTTAAATGCTTTAACAATTGTTTGATAACAACTCGTTCAATGACTTTAGAAATGAATGAAAGATTAGAGATAGGACGGACGGTAATTTGATAAAACGTTGTCGTCCAAATTACATATATATATATATATATATATATATATATATATATATATATATATATATATATATATATATAATATTTATATAAAAAAAAACCCAATTGCAAATTGAACAACGCCTGTTGTGATATTTTTCAAACAACTGCATATCAGATAGTCACAACCCTGTATATATATACATACATATATATATATATATATATATATATATATATATTTGCACGTTGTTGAATGTTTGTTATCGGATGTCTTTTTCCAATTGCACATTGTTGAATGTTTATTATCGGATGTCTTACCACTAATAAATTTAGAAACAGAGGAATCATCGAAAAAGATGACACGTAAAAGTGTCATATCGGTAAAGGTTGAAGATTGTAAAGATTATTCACTTTCAACGAACAAAGAATCAACTAAGTATATCTAACATCTGGCCACATACACAACGTATATGAATACCGAAAAAAACTTTTTTGTTCTATCATGCTTAAAATAAATTAAAATTTTGGTTTTGAACTCAAGAAACTCAAGAAAGAGAATAATTTACGATCAACCGTTAGAAAAATTGAAAAACTAAACAGAAAACTAATTAATGCTGTGATTTTCATCAATAATTGCATTTTTGATAGTCGTAGTCATATAAATCGTCGGAATTTAACGTTGAATGTGTTTTGTGGAAAATTTAGAATTTATTTCAGTTATCATGGTTTTTACATCGTGAACTAAAGACACTCTGATTCAGATTTAAAAGCATTAATATTTTGATTTCGTTTTTGTATTATCTTAAAAAATTTTTACCGTTTATTGTTAAGAGCCTTTATAATAATGAGGATGTCATTTTATATAGCGCCATGGCAAGCGGCTGAGGCGCATTATTATTACAAACACACAGTATATACATAGATACACGTGAATCGACGCATTACACACTTCTGCAGGTGACAGGCTGAGATCTCTTTACATTCGACCCTGGACCTTGCATCAACAATGCCAGGCACCTTAACCATTACACCGTCGCGCCGCTCAGTTTACAGTTTTTTGTTAAGAGCCTTTGTGAGAACATTTAGTAACGATCGCTTTTCAAACAATCTTCATAATTATGGAAATTTTTTTGTATTTCAATCAAAAATTATCGTTTATTATTTAAATGTTTAATAAATCCTTACCGCTCATTTTTTACAAGTGCGGAAGGTAGCCTATTCAAACGATTATAAAACACTCCTATCGATTTAAATTACGTATATCGATTTAATAACAAAATTAATTAATTTTTCGATCAGTGATACAGACAATGAAATCTTAATTAAAGATATTAAAGGAGCTTATTGGGGTAATTTCGAATGTCTCTAAAACAATGGAACAGTTTTTATAATCAGCGTTTAAACATTAATGTATTTTGATTGTTTGTAATTACTGGATTTTACCAGATTTATTTTTTGCCAAAGTATCAATTCTAGGACCTCATTTTTACTGTCATAAAGAATGGCGATGTCTGGATGGAAGAGTGTTAAACAGTTGCGACATTGGTATGACTCCGTTTATTTCGATATCTGCGAATATCAGGCAATCAACCGAATGATGATTTCGGTTAATATTTTGTTATAACGTTCTGTATATCGTTTCAACGTGATCACAGATTAACAATTAGACATTACATGCTCGTCGTTTGATGAGCGCCGCAAAAAGGACAGGAGATCTTTTGTTCTACCTCTCCCTTTGGTTGGTGTTGGTAGTTTTTTACCATCTTGTTGCCAACCGGTGTTTACTATCAAAGACAACAAATTTCATTATTTGAGTTTGTTTTGAAATAACTGCGAAGTTTGAATCTCATTCTCAACGCAGTGTCCTTGAGTGAAACAATGTATGACCGCCGTTCTTTTATTGTAGACCAAGTATCTCAGACAAATCCGCTAATACATATAGCAATAATAATATTAATAATCATAATTTTAATAATATGGCTTGGCAAACAATAGACAATCAGTTTAAGTTTTAGTTCAAATGTCTCAGGTGAAGTGCTTGTTATTAATTGAATATCATCGCATAGGCATACCCACTGAAACATTATTTGGTACTCATTTCAAATCTATTTGCGGTGTTTTAAAATAACTAAAATGAGATCCAGCAGTGATCTCAGATACACTATATTCTACATGTTTTTTCTAGAATTTTTCATCAAAGTATGACTTAAACAAGTCTAATGCTTTACCGGATACTCATAACGTAAGTCAGTCTACGAACAAAAACTGCACGGTAATGAATTCTCTTGTTTTTGAACTATCGACTTTGTTTTTGATAAAACTATCGACTTTTTCTCCAAACAAAATTTTTACCAGCTCTTGGTTTTTGCTTACTCTTATTATGGATGTACCGATTTCAGCGCAAGAGGTTAGCCATGGAGGAGTTTTGGGCGTTAGCTCTTTCAAGATTTTTATTTCTCTATTTCTTCGATATAATTCTTTAGTTTATGACTTGCTGAAGTCATATTTTGATAAAAGATCCTAACAAAAAAAACATGTGAAACATGGTGTATCTCTGAGATCACTGCTGGAACTTATTTCAATTTTTTTAACACCACAACATTTAATGTTGTTTTGCACATTTCAAACTCTCACAATAATACAATAGTAAAATATTCGTTTACGTTGTGTGACGCACATACGAGGTTTAATCAAATTAAAAGCTTTCAAAGAACTTGTAAGCAATAAAAGCACAATTTTTTTAAGGTTCAGATGAAAATATTTATAATTTTTGTTGTATAAAAGCTTACGTACACTTAATCCCGCTAAACCTGTACCCGTCACGCTTGATTCTGATCATTTTATACCTTCACATGGTCCCGACTACATTTGGTACCGATTACACTAGATCCCGCATAACTTTACCGCGATTTTACATGGTTTTGCATACACTTAATACCGCTGCATTCGGTACCGAATACTAATGTTAATACATTTTTATAGTGTTTTTTAATATAACAGCTTAAATTTAAATAATTATTTATAATTACAATATCTCTGGTTATGCTTTTCTTTATTATGTTCATATCTTTTATAATGTATTTTGGAACGAGGTTTTCATTATAACAATATTTTTTATAATATAAAAAATCATTAGTTGTTGGCAGAAAACTGGAATTCGGGATTAATGTAGGCAGACCAAATAAAGAATGACGATTTTCTTCAACAACTTAAAAATTATTCATGGAATTTTTTTTTATTCATTAGTTTTTTTGCGTAGCTCAATCCTTCTACGCTCGAGCATTTCTGGAAATGCTCGAGCGTAGAAGGATTTTGGCCATCTTTTGACCAACTATTCTGGAATGGTCAAAAGATGGCCAAAAATGGTGTTGGAATTTTGTCAGAGAACCGCTAGCTCGAGAAGTACTGGATGTTAAAAGGATTAATTCACGTCTCATGTGAATCAAGCTTCGCATAGAAAAGCAAACAATGATTATTTTTTCTGCATACGCACCACAGACAGGCGAATCAGAAGAGATGAAAAATGACTTCTGGGCTGCGTTCTCTGACACCGTCTCAACAATACCAAAATCTGAAACAATCCTGATTGGAGGCGATCTCAATGGCCACGTTGGAAAGGAAACAGATGGTTTTCACAACGTACATGGCGGTTTTGGCTATGGAGAACTGAATAAACATGGCAACCGCATCCTTGAGTTTGCTGAAAGTCACGGGTTTTGTTTACTGAACACAAATTATAGAAAGAGATTGGAACATCTCATAACATACAAAAGTGGACTATCAGCCACGCAAATTGGTTTCTTCGCTGTTAAGCAACAACACCGAAGGCTATTCAAAAATGTCAAAGTTATACCTGGCGAATCATGTGTCGCCCAACATAGACTTCTTGTGGCAGACCTGGTTGTCGAACTGTCAAAACATAAGTCTAAACAAATGCCTCGGTAAATCAAAACGTGGGAGTTGAAAAGCAATATTCATCGAGAAAAATTTCAACAGATTGTCGCAACACAGTTAGGCCACCAATCCCAAGCCAGTACAGATTGGAGTACATACAAAACCGTTTTGATAAACGTTGCAACTACGGTTTGTGGGGAAAACTGGTACAAAACGTCAGCATGAACGTGACACTTGGTGGTGGAATGACAGTGTACAAAATGCAATAGCTGAAAAAGCTGCAAGTTGTACAAGCAATGACAAAAATCAAAGTTTGTTGATGACCACAAAATTTTCCGTGAGAAGAACAACTATGCAAGACGTCAAGTCGCACTGGCTCGGACAGATCAGTGCAGAGAGTGACTCACTAAAAGCAAAGGTGAACAAATGAAATCTCTATATCGTATAGCAAAACAAGCAAAGCGTACGAAAAAAGACATAGTTGGTGCCTCATGTATCAAAACGACAAAAATGAGATGGTTTTTGAACAAGATGAGATCAAGCTACAGTGGAGAGAATACTTCGAGCGTCTGTTAAATAAAACAAATCCCATCAATGTCAACTTTGACACTCCACCCATCGAAGGTCCGATTCCAGACATCACTGTAGAGGAGTTTAGAGAAGCTCTGAAAGCTATGAAGGATGGAAAGTCAACAGGGCCCTCTGGACTCACAAATGACATTATCAAAGCTTCTGGTACTGCAGGTATCCAATCGTTACTACAACTTTTCCGTGAAGTGTGGAGAAATTGCTCAATGCCGACTAAATGGAACTATAGCATGACAGTTCCGCTATACAAAGGCAAAGGTATTCCATTGAATTGTTCATCATATCGGGGTATAAGTCTGTTAGAACACTCTCTGAAAATTGTCGAGAAAATCATTGAGAGAAGATTAACGTCGTGCATCACAATCGGAAATTATCAATTTGGTTTCCTAGCGGGGAAATCAACAATTGATGCAACTGATATCCTTTGGCAACTGCAAGAGAAGTACCTCGCAAAGCATCAAAAACTATACGCACTGGTGACATTTGGAATCTAATATATGCTGATGATATCGTTTTAACATCCACGTCTGAGCAGAATGCAGCACAGATGTTTGAAGATTGGAACACCAAACTTGCCGATCATGGATTCAAAATCAACATCGGCAAAACCAAAGCAATGAACACTGGTGAACCCATCCAATCCACAGCTATTGGACAATGGCCCTGTTCAGTTTGTAAAGCTGGTGTAGGTAACAATTCAATCAAGTGTCCACAGTGTAACCAGTGGTGTCACAAACGTTGTTCAAAAATAATTGTTACTTTATGTAAAGTGTCTAATTTTGTTTGTCCTGCTTGCATCAATCCACAACAACAAATTCGAAATAGCAATATTTTTTAAGCCATTATGATAGAGAAAGTCGCATCGTTTCAATATCTAGGGGATGTTCTTGGTTGTACTGGATCAACTGAAGCTGCCGTTCGAGCACGCATACGTGCAGCCTGGAATAAATGGCATCTTCTTGCCTCTATATTGATGCGGCGTGACATCCCACTACCACTACGATCAAGACTTTATAAATCTGTGATATTGTATGGTGCAGAAACATGGCCAATGACAACCAAACTGGAACAACAACTTCAACGAACCGATATGAAAATGCTCCGATGGATGCAACTAATTAGTCAAATCAACCGAAATCCTGCGTCGCTCTGGTTTAGATGATATAAAGGACGAATGCCGGCAACACCGTCTGTGGTGGTTTGCTCATGTCAAATGAAGTGGACACAGTGCCATAACTTCTCTTCCAAATGTTGAAGTACCTGGCACACGTCCCAAAGGCCGTCCAAAGAATCGCAAACAATCGAGCAAGACATGAAAGCTCTAAATTTAAATGAAATAGATACAACTGATCGTCTAATTTGGCGCAAAAAGTTGATGGCAAAAAAAACAACGTCCTACCTCGGGAAACTGGGTCTCTGGACGCTAAATGAAGATTGATTGATTGATTAGTTTTTTTGTGATATTACTATATCTTGTTTTGTATTCACTGCCACTTTTTTAATTTTTTAAAATTTGTCCGCTTTTGCCGAATGTTGAACTTTGATTATGGTCATGCACTGAATATTTTTGACTGTGTAAATTTTTTTTTACAAAATTTTACAAAATTTTCTGAGATGCAAGTTAGGGATGGAAATCGAACCGATCTCGAATCCTAGACCGTGTCCGATCTTTGAAACTGCTAGTTACGAATTAAACGTACTATCCTTACTCTTACCTTATTTTACCAAATTTTGTGGTGTTGTAAATTTTCCATTTTGCACGTTTCTGTAAAACAAACTTTCATGTCACTAACCGTACAAACTTTGAAATGTTGTTTTAAACATTGCCGATATAAGAGTTGTTAAACACGTATTGCAATATTTTATTTTAAACATATCTAACCGGACCGAACTCAAACTTTGTCAAAAAGGTGCGATTTCCATCTCTAATGGTATATTTATTGTAAATGTTTAATGTACTGTTAATGCATTATTTGACACAGCAATTGGTGGATGATGTTTGTACTTATCTTCTACTTTTTGTCGCCTATACCATCTCTCATTTCTCGCCGATTTGCCGAAACGGTTGAATCGAGTAATGCACTGATTGAAATCTGCATATTCATCACCACTTGCATTTTCATTTCTGCTTTTGGTTTGCCCATTGTCTTGGCTCACAAAGACATTGTTAGTGTTTGATATTAAATATCAATGTTTTGATAATTTTAATATAATTTTGTGATATTCCTTATTCATTATTTTTTAAAAATTTTAGACAAAATGCTGTTTAAATAGCTAATTTGATTTACTCCAGTGGTTTATTAATTTTAGCTAGTTTTTGTCATAATCACAACGAAAGTTTCTAATTAGAGTTTGTAATTTAGATAACTTGTTGTTGTGAACAAGTTTAAGTCAAATGACTTCAAAAGGATTTGAACATGTTACCATCAAGAACTTTTGTTAGCATGTATTTTGCTTCCCATCAACCCCCTTTATTTAATATTAGCCGGCCCAGCGTACTTCGTAACGTCTTAGAAATAATAAATGGTGTTAATAGCAAAATTTCATTAAAAAAATTAAAAAAGTAACGAACTTTGATGTTTAGGAATATTTAATTTACAGCTGTACCCATTTTAACATCAAACTACTAATAGTGATCTACACATAAATATTCAGTTGCTCAATGTTTTTTTCCTTATGTCGAAATTTGTTGATAATAGTGGTGCATGCTTGCATGTATAAATCATATATCTAAGTTGTTATGTTATTTTAAACGCAATAAGGAATATTTGAGAGACCCTGGAGAAAACACATAGTCGCATAATGACCAAGAAATATAGCAAATGTATCAAATAAATCATTAACATAAATAATGAAGTAGGGCCTAATACACTACCCTGCGGCAACCCACTAAAAACACCAAAGTTATCTGACATTGAACCATTAATTTTTACCATGAAAGATCTGTTTTTTAGGTAATCCTTTATCCAATCCACAATCAAATCATTCACTCTATAAGATTTTTAGTAATAAGGGTATCGGATCAGTTGTACGGGCGTCAATTGGCACTCGAACAATTGGCACGCGAACAAGTAACGCGTGAACAATTGACATGGAACATTTACCATGAAATATCTATTTTTTATCCAACCCACAATCAAATCATTTACTCTATAAGATTTTAATTTAATAATAAGTTAATCATGGGGAACCTTATCAAGTGCTTTCTCAAAATCAGTATATATAACCTCAACTTCCTTACCCTCATCAATTGCCAAACTCCATTCATCTAACATCTTTAATAACAACAAAACAGCAGATTTCCCGGGCATAAAACCAAACTGTCTATGATTAAACAAATTGTTACTCACAAAGTGATTCATCAAACGATCTTTAATTATCGACTCCATAACCTTACAGCACAAACAACACAAGGAAACAGGTCTCTAATTTTCCACACAACATACATCTCCTTTTTTATGAATTGGTACCAAATACTGTGCCTCAAAGCAAGTTCAATGACAAATTAAACAAATTGCATAAATAATCAGCAACTACACTACTACATTCCACCAGAATTCTAGAATAAATTTCATCCGGCCCAATTGATTTATTTTTATTTAGCTTCCTTAACCGTACTAAAATATCACTAACATTTATAAGATCACACGACATGGCACGAGCACATTTTTCACCCAAAGTAGACACAATCATTCCCCATTCCCATCAGGCACGATATTTATACACACTATTAAATAAGCTCCAAATAAATTAGCTTTTTCCTTGTCACTACTTACATTTATTCTATTACCAAATCTATTAACTGTAGACAAAATATCAATATTACCCATTGATTTTTTCACTAATATATTGCCAGAAAGCTTTTGGATTAGTTTTAATATTTTTAGTCAACTTCAATATATTTCTTTACTTCTGTCGAACTTTTTTTAATTCATTCAATAAAATAGCTGCTTTAGATTTGAGGAATTTTTTCCATAATTTATGTTTATATTTAATAAGTGAAACCAAAGCTGAAGAAAAATTTACCCTATACCTTTTATTATTCTCATCAAACTTAGGTATATATAAATCAGTTGCTTTTGACAACATACATGAAAAGTGATTCCACATGTTTTTCATCGCCTTAGAACCAGTTTTAACACCAACCAAATAATATATAACATTAGTAAGAAAAGTCGTAATCACCTTTTTAAAAATTATATCTACTGATAGCAAAATGTCTTAAATTATACTACACGTATCTTTATCTAAAACTCAAAGCTAAGTGGTCACTCTTCTAAATATGTGCTATATACTCAAAATTCTTAATAGTGTCAATATCATGAACCAGTAATAAATCAAGAACATTAGATTTCTGATTTTCAACACGTGCGTCATGGTTGTTACGTACATCATAGTTGTCACGTGCTTCGCAGTTAACACTTGCGTCCTTGTTGTTACGTGCATCGCAGTTTTCACTTGCGTTGCAGATAACACGTGCGTCGCCGTCGATATCATCCGTAGGTGAATATGCTTGTAGAATAATTTCCGACTCTTGTGTAGCCGTTTCTGGTATAGTCTCTTCGTTAGGAGATATTCCCTCAAAGGTTGATCGTGTTATTTCATTGGCTGTTTGTAATTCGGCTTTCATTTCTCTTATTTTGGCTATCCGTTGATCTGTCTTGGACGTTCTTTCAGCGTTTTGCTTTTTCATTTCCGCGAAGTGTTTTTCCGCTCGACTATCGGCATCAGCAGATTTCTTTTCTGCTCGCCGATCAACATCAGCTTTTATTTCCGCGAATTGCTTTTCTGTTCGACAGTCGACATCAGCTTTTATTTCCGCGTTTTGTTGTTTCATTTCGGCGAGCATCTGCATGATTTGTTGCATGTCAGTCGCGGACGAATTCCTGTTGTTCATCCCACTACAATTTTTTCTTTGTCCGTTGAGTGCTGCTTGAACGGGTGACCTGATCAATCTCCGTAACTTATTTCTTTGACATCTTCTTGTGTGTTCGGAATCCCGCTTCTGACACCAGTTGTTACAACCTTCTGATGATCCCACTTCTGACACCAGTTGTTATAACCGACCCCTTGAACTTATAGGGTACAGTTATTTCTCTCTACGTGGGTTTTTGACTCCTGAACAGACTTATTTCAGATGAACTTTAGCTGAAAGAAAACAGTACTGGCAATTACTTGTATATATTGCTGTGATCAATCACTCGTTTATTCAATTGTTAAAATCGTTAGAATACAGCACAATAACTAATCGACAGGTAAATCACTGAATAAAACCAATCGTCAATAATTAAGCTTCTCTCGTCAGACTAATTATATTGAGTTCTTCTAGCTCTTGCATTCTTTGCTGAAGTGAGTTTCCAGTTATCAAAAGTCATAGTTCTGACACCAGTGTGTAATCTCTTGAAGATCCCACTTCTGACACCAGTGTTGTTACCTCCTCGACCTCGTAACTACCAACACCGATGTTATATCTTCAATAATCGCTATATTTCCAATACCGTGTTGTAGTTTCCAACGATAGTCAAGAGTTCGTTTATCCGTAGGTTCAAGATTTCCGATAGATGAACACAATTACTTTTAACGCAAACTAAGTTGAACGTTTATTTAATACAAGCAGTAATAGAAACAATAAATTAATCCAAATAACTACGTAAATCACATTACGACTTCGCATCGAATCTCACTTCTACGTCAACTCTGTTCCGTCTTTTTCTTCCTCGTTGTTCTTTCCGCTTCTTCGTTGTTTATGTAGTTACCGATCTGCTTATAAATGTGCAACATAAGAAGTGTCACGTCCATTAGTGAATTTATAATCTTTAAATTATTTTACAACCTTCTAATTAATTTACAAGCGGGATTTTCCTCAATGCATGCTTAACAATTTAGTTTTTATCTCGATCTTACGTTTGTAACAATATATATAGTCAGTAATTTCTGAATTAAAATAATTTACATTAGGGTTTGTCTCGTTAAACAACAAAACGTCATAATTATTATTTTTGGCCAATAACTTAATTTCATCAAATTTGTTAAACAGTGAATCAACATTAGAATACAGAATATTGAATGAAGAATTTAAATTTTTTTCTGCAATTCCACTACCCTCATGTTTCCTGGCAGTCCTTTTACCCTGAAAATATAGCCCCCCTTATCTGAACTTTTTTTTCTTTAGCCTCTGAAACCGATTTCTTTACTTGCTCCCTTTAATCTTTGGTTAAATCATGACCTATCCCAACACCTTTTAATTTATCATTTATCGCTCTCAATTTTCTCAGATTTTCCATAATTCTATTTTCACTTTTTTTATCTTTAAAAATTACCAAAACAGTTCGAGACCGTGAACTCTTTTCACCTAGTCTGTAAAATCTTTCAACCTCCATGAGCCATCAGTCAAGTTTGAAAATATTTCACCAATTCCATTACTATTTGAGGTTCCTATGGCACTTAAATTTTTGCCTATTTCTTCTAACCTGAATATGATTAAATTTTTTAATCTATTTTCTACATCATTATTAAATAAATAAATAAAAATAAATAATGGGCTTAAACGTAAGTTATATATGCCCATATCAAAATAGCACTAAAAGACAACAAAAAGCAATCAAACAACAATGTCAATTTTATGATTATAGAGAAAATCTTTGTTGGCCATATATAAGTCAAAAATCCTCTTGAAGTTGGAAACAGTATCTGATTCAACAACGCATGTCGGTAAATTGTTCCAAATAGAGATCACTCTGTTAGAAAACGAATACTTTCTTGTATTTGTATGGAACTTTTGAACATGTATGCTATAGCGATGCCCTCCGGTACGTGGATCCGCATCAAAACACAAAGCTGGTGAGGAATCTCTATCTACCATACCCTTCGCAATGTTGAAAATCATTAAAATGTCTCCACGAACTCTTCTAAATCTTAAAGTTGGCAAGCCAAGAAACTTCAATCGATCCGAGTAACAAAGGCCTTTGCAATCCCTGACCATCTTGGTTGCCCGTTTCTGAACCCTTTCCAAATTATCAATTTCTTTTATTTTCCAAGTAGATTATACACTGACACCATACTCTAACTTTGACCTAATTAAAGATTTATAAATCAAAATAAATGACTCTTTAGTTAAATTTTTAAAGTGTCTGTATAACAATCCTAAAAGAACAAATATTAATTAATTATTAATTAATTAATTAATTAATTAACAATTAATAATGACATTATGTATATACTTAGAGAAGCTCAGTGAACGTTCAAACAAAACCCCCAAATCGTTTTCTTCATCACAAAAATCCAAGTTGGAATTATTAATATTATAACACCAATTATTATCCAAACATGAACGACCAAATTTTATAGCTGCACAGCACACTTTTCAATATTCAAATCGATTTTCCATAACATACACCAATCATACAATTTTTCAAGATGTTTTTGTAGCACTATTCTATCATCCACACATCTTATAAAATTAAACATGTTAACATCATTCATCAGCATACAAATACATTTGAACAGAACTATCTTTCACAATATCAAACATGTCATCAAACATCACATACACAATAAACAAAGCCGGACCTAATACAGAGCCTTGAGGCACTCCACTACTGACTTCAAACCTTTTAGACAAACAATTATTCACTCTCACACTAGAAGTTTTACCACACAAATACTCCTTGATCCATTCTTGGTCATTATGTGTCTATGTGTTTCCTCCAGGGTCTCTCTGATATTCCTTATGGTATTTATTTAAAACTTCAGTTACCTCCTTTAACCCCTCCTTCAATATTCCTGCAAAGGACATCTTTAAGTTGTCCTTTAATTGAACCAGGCTTTCGGACTGTTCTATCTGACTTAATTTATTGAACTATTTGAACTATTTACTTTTTCTTCTATGTCTCTTATTTCCTTTAGTATCTCAGCATTACCATTTTTTAAAACTCCCAACTCTCTCTCTATTTCATTCTCAGACACATCACGTATAGGACCTAAATTTTTTCTCTTTCTAAACAACTTGTACAGAGCCAAGAGTAACCAGGAATAGCAGAGATTTCCAAAAATAGTTCTTCTGAGACTTTTCCACATTTCAGGTTGCAAATAACATTACACTCTACACAGTGTAAGACATTTTTAGTAGCCCTAGTCACTCCACTATTACAATTAGTGCATTTGTCTTTATTCTTAGAACCCATCATTTCTTTTCCCTATCAGATTCCCACTAAATATATAAGTATTAATCTCAAAATTCAAGTGCCCAACAAAACAAAATGACACGAACAATAACTCACAAAACACTGACAACGAGAACAAATGACCGGCGCGTATCCTGCAGTTGCAGTATCCATTCTCAATGCCTCTAGTTGAACACAATATTAGCAAATAACCTCTTCAGTCTAATAATATAATAAACAGCAAAATTTTAAGATAAACTTATAAAGTTATTATTTATTTCGTATTTAAAATTTAACGAAAATTCGTAAATACGTCAACCGTAAGTTTGTTGACATTAAAAGTAACATTGCCTCACTTTAAGAGGTAACGCATTCTAAACATCCGGAGTGGCGTGACCGGAGCCGCAACTAGCGAGATGAGATTTGGCGATTTGTATCCTTGGAAGCCTGATAAAATCTGCTGAGCGATCTGGGATATCCACGGATTTGGGGGATATGAAATCATTTGACATGTTTGTTATGGATTTTATATCAATATTTTGAATGTTAAGACTGCAATTCAGAAGATAATTCTAACGAGAACAGGAAGCCCATGAAACAGTGGGAAGAGAATAGAGGAACTGAAATGAGGAGGATTTATTTTGAATAGTATGTAGTTTTTTGATAGATTGGGAATGAGGTTTTATATGACAGAGTTGCAGCAGTCTTTTTTTTCAAAAATTTGACAGCTATTGATGTGTTCCTGCAAGCAATGTTTCGGACTTCAGGGTTGAGAAGAAGGAAGTTGTTTACATACTACTGATGAACCTTGCTTGTGCAATCTATATAAAATGCGTAGTTTGTGGACTAGATTATTCAAGGTGACAGAATATGTACAGGTGCGTGTCATCGGGATAATGATGGGAAAATGCCTTATTTACCGGATATTCCGGCCAACAGGGGTAACATAGGTAGTGAAGAGGACGTAACCGAGTAACGGAGCCTTGAGGGACTCCGGAGTTTTTTTTTATAAAATTTCTTAAAATTTAATTGTAAATATTAATTTATAAATTATATAACATTCTTTATAAGACTTAAATTAATGAATGAAAATTGTTATAAAATACAATTATAATTTATCCAGTAAATGTTCAGCAGACCCTTGACTAGCGTAAGTAGAGCGTTGCTATGCAGTGTGACGTAACATCTTTGGGCATCTAAATAATATATTCAGTCTGCGACCCGCTCAGTAGCTCATTTTATTTTTAGTAATTATATAATTTTGTTCTTTTATTGTCTTTTTACTTTTATTTCAGAATTTTTTTACCTATTCCCAAAGTTTGCCGCTCCTTTAAATCTGCCGCCCCAGGCTATATCCAATATAGCCCATACGTAAATCCAGGCCTGTAATGAACACACAAAAAATTAATTGAATTTAAGCTAATGATTTTATAATAATGATTCATTGAGATGTCTGTTTTATATCTTTTTTTATTTTCAATTTGTTCAACAGGTGAAGTGGGGGGCATGTGGCTTAGTATTGGCAGGCAACGTAGTTGTCTTCAGCACCATATTCCTCTTCTTTGTTTTCTTTGCTAAAGAAGATTCCTTCCAATATAGTTCTTGGTGATTGTAAACTCAACAACTATTCGTTAACAAATTTACAAAAATCAGTTTGTGATATTGTAATTTAACAATAATATAATAAAATGATAAAATCTGATATGGTATAGAATATTTTTTTTCATAAACGTGGTTTATTTTCGCGGTGTATATAATTTATATTAAATATACAACGTCTTTTAATTTCATGCTTCTCTAGTTTTATAAAAATTAAGGTTTATTATTACAAGGAACCGAAATGAGTTTACGTAACTTGTTTAAGAGGCTTCTTAATTAAAAATTGACATTAATCTTCAACCAAGTTGACAACAATAGATCAATTGAAATAAAATCGGTTAGGATTAGGACATTAAGTTTGAATATTTCATAAAAGCCTAGTACACGTGTTCGTACATTCAAAAATCAACCATTGTTTTTTTATTCTTTATAACGCAGCTCTGTCGAACGTAAAGCTACTTGTTATTTATCTTTACGTATAATTAAACATTCAGCTACAAGGTCTGTCCTATGCACACCATACAATACAAACATCCGTACGCACGCGCAAGCACCGCACCATGCGAGTATAATGGTTTCGGACTATTTGATATTTATTCGTTATTTGTTCAGTTTTGTTTATTGTTTCTCTCTAATGAACATGAACACATAACCATACCATCGCGTAATAGCAGTGTGAGAAATGGCACTTCAACCAGCTGAGCTAACTCGGTGACCAAATGCTCTTCTGTGAAATATTTTTAGTGTCGGATGAAAAATATCCGGCTTCGGCCTCTCAAAAAATTCAGATTCCGGCCATTCGAATTACCCGGGGTAAAAATTCAAGTCGTCGATAGGACTTTTGAGTTCGTATACTGCATGATTACGCTTCAAAGTAGAATCGTCTTTAGAAGCGCAATTGTTCTTTAGGACCAATTGCGACGTCTTACAATTGTAGTACACCCTCAGTTGGCTGTGCGCGTCAACAACATTCAAAAATAATAGTTCAGTATTCAGTTCATAAAATATGATCAAATGACGTCAAAACTTCTTGAGTTGCGTTGGTTACCAATTGAAAACAAAATTACTTTCAAGATTTTATTAAATGCGATAATGTTGAAAAAGTACAGTCCCGCAATACTTGATAGATTTGTGCAGAACACCATCATCGATCTAGGGTAGAAGAGTTTTGAGGTCTGTCCAAAACTGATTTTCAGGTACCGCGAGTGAAGTCATCGATTGCTTTGGGAAGTTTTTCAGAATTTGGCCCAACGATGTTTGCCAAAAAAATTAAAAAGAAATGAAATTGAAAAGGCGGTTTTCAGAAAAACTCAAAGCAATTTTATGGGAAAAAGCGTTCATGAAGACATGAATGAGCGCCGTAAAAACTCTACATAAAACTCTACATAAAAACAACATACAAGACAATACTGTTACAACCGCGGGAATGATCGAATTACGTTATATTGATAATTATTAATTAACATTCCGATGAAAATAGTGATTTCCACTATCGGTTCGACAGCAAACGTCTTAAAATATTTGATAAATCTATCGTTTTTAAGTGGTAAATTTCCTGCATGTTTTAAAATTTCAAAAGTTGTTCCTATACCGAAAGTAAAAGGTATAAAGGACATCACAAATTACCGACCTGTGTCTATTTTACCTTCATTCTCAAAGATTATTGAAAAGATAATGCATATTAGACTGATAAAATTTCTACATAAACTCAATTTACTGTCCGATTGTCAATTTGGGTTCAGAAATCAGCATTCTACAGAGCTGGCACTGGTTGAGTTGACAAGGAAATTTGGAATAGCAGCAGAAGAGAAAAAATTTGTTATTGGCACCTGTCTAGATTTATCTAAGGCATTTGGTTTAATCGATCACGATATTCTTCTGGGAAAAATGAAAATTCATGGTATAAGGGGTAAAGTGCTTGAATGGTTCAGAAGCTATTTGACGGATAGAAAACAGTTTGTGTAGTTTAATGACAGGGAATCAAAGTTGATGCACAATAAAATAGGGGTACCTCAAGGAAGCATCTTAGGACCGCTGTTGTTCATTGTGTTTATAAACGATCTTCCAAATGCAGCATCGTTTTTTGACTTTGTTTGTTATGCCGATGATACAAATGTGTTTTGCAAAGGTAAAGATATCAATGAACTAATAGAGAAAACAAATATTGAATTAGGACATATTTTTTCATGGTTTAATCGCAATAGATTGACGCTAAATGAGAAGAAACCCCAAATGATAGTATTTGGGCCAGGGAATTATATGAATTACAAGGAGCCATATAAAATCATAGTCAACAACACTCTCATCACAGAAAGTAAGACAGTAAAATTTTTGGGAGTTATGTTGGACCAAAAGTTATCATTCAAGCCACATGTTCTTAACATCTGTTCTAAATTGGCAAGATCAATTGGAGTCATAAACAAAATCAAATTTTATTTACCAAAATCATGCTTGAACATGCTTTACAACACTATAGTTTTGCCGCATGTTTCTTATTGTTATATTATCTGGTCAGGTACATGTTCAACAGTAACAAATCCAATAATATTATTAATGAAAAGAGCAATTAGGACGATAACACTATCAAAAAAACTCACTAATGCAAAACCTCTTTTTCAGCAGACAAATAATTTAAGCTTCAACCAGCTAAAGCTACACTGTGCAGTTTGTTTTGTTTACAAACAACTTTTGAATAAATTACCACAGATGTTCAGCCATTACTACAATTACTGTAACGCAAAGAGAAGAAAACATTTTTTAAAGACGAATAATTCAAAAACAAATATGCTCTTCAACCATATCATATGCAGAGGTCCAAGAAGCTGGAACCACGTTTTATAAATGGGTTCTTCTGTGGATATCTTTAATGTGAAAAATTTAAGAAATAAATTGAAATTGTTTTTAATAAACTGTGATTGTGATTATTAAATTGTTTTTTGTGAAAGTTCAAATTTTGTCAATTATTTTTGGTAATGACATGTGAGCTGTGCATTCATGTGTTGTGTACGTGTACATGCTGTATGTTTATCTTGGTTTTTGCATAATAAGTTTAATGATTTGTAGACATTATTAAAACAATTATTTTATTTTGACAATGAATTTAGATAAGAATGTTTATGTGTTTGTCATATATAGGTGAATTGAACATTGTTAGTAAGATTACGGTGTATATAGTATGTTCAATACTTTACTGGCTGTACTTGTATGTACTTGACATGTTTATGTGTTAATCTTGCAAGTATATATTTTTATGAACACTGATAATTTGTTAGTATTAGTATTTGTTTTAATATATGACTGTACTTGTCCGTATATTTTTGTTTATCTTGTAGGTATATGTGTGTAAGCTATCAAACTCATTTTGAAGAAGCAGCACTCAGCTACGGGGGGAGCGAAAGAGAACGAGCGACGGCATTAGTGCTAGCACTAAGAGGCTTCGCTTTGGAAGTATTGCAAATTATTCCTGCCGAGGATTGTGACAACTCCGAGATTCTAACCGATTTTACTAGACAGACGCTACGAAAACAAATATACTGAAAACCTCTACTTAACACAGCTCGACCACAATATGCAGAAACAAGGGGAAACTGATCAACGACTTGCAAAAGACATAGAGAGACTGAAATTGCTAGCGCACCCAACAGGTACTCTGGAATTCAGGGACAGAACGGCAACAAAAGCGTTTACTCAAGCCATACGAGACCTAGATATGAGATATGACCTCACAATATCAAAAATAACTACACTTAAAAGAATCTTGGAGCAGCAGAAGATTCTATGACACTAGAATCTGCAAAGCTGATGTTGAAGAAAGACACAAAAATACGGCAAATCCACGAAGGAGCAGCTAGGTCTATTCTTAAGCGAGATATGGCAATGGATCCGAAGCAAGAAAGATCTAGCAAGTATTTACTTCGAACCGCCACTGGAGGTACGGCGACTGTATACGGAGAAGTTTCCTAAACTGTAGAGATGGGATAGATTACCGATGAATGCATTTTGGACTTCGACATCATAATGAAATACGGTTTCCACCTAGATCTGTTAAAACGTGTTTTAAGATGTAAAAACACAAAGTTGGTCATGGGAAACAGACAGCCAAAATACATCCAGATAACGGCCGATGGTGATGTGGCAACAACAAGTTTGTCAGAAGACATCATTGAGGCAAAACTGGAAAACAGTGAATGCAGGAGCCAACAAATTGTCCTAGTGAAATCTACGTCAACGCCCAAAATACCGAATATTATAGTGGGAAAATGCCTGGTAGAGGTCAACAAAGGTGGCAGAATTCCGATCCAGATAACGAATGTATTGCAGTGCAATTGGCAATCTCCTACCAGTGAGAAATTCGTCAAAGAACTTCGCCAAAGATTGGACAATATCTACGGGAACGTGCGATTCAGAACGAGAGAAAGCACGGAAAAGACCAAAACTCAATATGACCTCAAAAGCGGTAGCGCAGAGTTTAACAAAAATGACTCTATCTGGCCGTATAACACACGGCGTTGCCCAAAACTACAAAGAATTTGGAAAGGTTCACACAGGGTCATTAAAAGAATAAATGACGTGACCTACAGAACTCAAGATCAAGAAAGAAAATAGACAAAGATGAAACTTGTCCATCTGAATAGTTTAACCCCTATGGATGAACAAAGAAAAGTGAAAAGTTCCAATCCTGATAGTTACAAAAAGCTGGACAAAACAATCAAAGAATGTGCTTAGAGGCAAAGAAGAAATGGTTAAATGACAAGTGAAAAATCATTGAAAAGATCAAAAACTGTAATACAAATGCAATGTATAAAAACATCAATGAAATCACTGGAAAAAGGGCTAAATGCATAAAATCTAAATCTGGTGAAGTAATCTTAGAGAAAGAAAAAGTACTTGAAAGATGAACTGAATACATTAAGGATCTTTATGATGATATCCATGGTGAAAAGCCTTCTATTAAAAAAGATATTGAGATAGTTGTTGAAGAAATTAAATGTCTTGATGAATTTACCATTAAAAAAGTGACAGAAATTTTGAAAAATTTATAACAGTGGCGAAATTCCTGAAGATTTATCCAAGTAATATTTATTGCATTGTCTAAAAATCCTAGTGCAACAGCATGTGAACTACATCGAACAATCAGCTTGTTGAGTCATCATACTAAGCTTTTCTTGAGAATTCTGATGATGAGAGCAAAATCAAATTTGAAATTTCAAATGTCCAATGTGGTTTTTTAGAGGATTGTGGCACAAGAAACGCTATCTTTATGCTACGAATGATCAGTGAACAAGCGATTGAAATGAAGAAAGACTTGTTTAGTTGTTTATATGTTTTGTCGATCACTCCAAAGCTTTTGATGCTGTCAAACACGTGGAGCTTATGGAAATATTGAAAAATATGGACATTGATGAAAAATATACAAGAGTTATCAAAAATCTCTATTAGGACTAAAGAACAGCGTTGAAAGTTGGTAACAAGATAGCTAGTTTTGTCGAAATAATGAAAGGTATTAGGCAAGGCTGTGTATTCTCTCTAGACCTGTACAATCTTTATAGTGATATCATGAGGCGTGAATATAAGCAATGTAAGATATGCTGATAGTACAGCTCTTATAGCAGATTCAATGAAAAATTGCAAAGAATTTGAAAGTGAAAGGAAAGGCTTGCAAATTAACATTAAAAAAACTGAGTGCTGGTTTTTGAAAGTGAAAGGAAAAGCTTGCAAATTAACATCAACAAAACAGAGTGCATGGTTATCAGTAAATGCAAAACCGCCCGATCTTATCCATCATCTTTAATGGTAAATAAGTGAGCAAGTCAACAGCTTCAATTATCTCGGAAGTCTGATTACCTCAGGCTGTAAATGTGATATGGATGTCAAAAGAAGGATAGCTATGGCGAAGGACGCATATTCTAAAATAAAAAACATCATCACCAACAGTAAAATCAGAATATCAACAAAATTAAAACTGTTAGGATGTTACATTTTTCCTGTGCTAACTAACGGCTCTGAGTCCTGGACAATTTCTAAAAAAATGCAGAGAAAAATAACGCCGCTGAGATATGGTTTTTGAGAGAAATTATAAAAATTAGTTGGACCTCTCATACTTCGAACGAGAATGTATTAAAACAGTCCGGTTATGAAAAGAGAAAATTACAAAAGACAATCCAAAGGGGCAGTTAAAGTTTTTTGATCACATCATGCGGAAGGAAAGAATGGAAAATCTAACAACTACTGGAATGATTGCAGGGAAAAGAGATCGCGGTCAACAACGAAAAACATTCGTGAAGTCCTTGTGTCACTTGTTGAATATCACGACATTTCAACTACTACAAAGTGTTAAAAATCGGGTTTTGTGAAAGTCGATGGTCACCAATGTTTTGAAAGGATAAGGCACAAGAAAGAAGAAGAAGAAGAGAAAAAAATAGCCAAAATATGGAATAACAAAAAAGGTAAGTTAAAGACCCCAACAAACAATTTCTCGCTACACCAACGTGTGCCTATAAAATGTTAGGGAAAGAAGGGATAATAAAATAAAAGGCGTATGTCGTAAGGTGATGAGCTGAAACGCTTTTTGACAAGTTATTCCTTTCACACACTAACACACGCCCGCGCGCACACACGTCTTATCTCTTATATTACTTTCATTCCACTCTCTTATTACATTGGTCAAAATCGTTATCTTAACTCAATAGAGGATGATTCTAAAATATCATGACGTTAAAGTTTATTATACTTCTTCAACGGTTACCAATGGGTTTCTTGAAACTTCTAATTGTCTGCTAGTTTTATAGTGGAGTTTTATACGTTTATAATTGAATTTAATTAACGATCAAATATGGATTCGGATTAGTTATTGTGGTTAAAAGTAATTGCATCCTAAGTAAAAGAAGTAAAAGTGAGATAGAAGATTTTTTTTATAAAAAACTTATTTTTTATTTGGTACTCGTCAAATTAATGATAATGAATTTCAGCGGGACTTGAAAACGAAACAAGTTAACCAGGAAAGACACCAATGCTTTAAAGACACGTTCGGTGTACGTAACGTGATTTGATTGGTCCAGCTCGTCACGTGCTATTGTTAAATACCGTCAGGCGGGTGTAATTTTGTTGATTTTGTCGGCGAGAAGATGGATTCCATTAAAGTATTCTTCGTTTTTGCGACTTTTTTGCTTGCTGCAGGTTTGAATTGTATTATTATATGATTTTTAGCTTTTCAATAAGTTTTTATTTATTTAAATAATGAAAAGAAAAAACCGAGAAATCCGGGTGCAATCCTCCTGTACTGTAGTTTATTTCTATTTTAAAAATTTAATATAATTTAAATGTTTATTTTTATTACGGCTTATTACTTAATTTAATTAGAATAAATTAAAAGCTTAGTTGTTTTCCAAATTTTTACTGCTGTGGCATTTTTATTTACATTTCTATATCCTTAATTTATTATATAATATATAGTACATTGATTATTATTAAGAGTGTCACTGGGTTTTTGGCAGTAGGATAGATAAGATGATAGACTCTTTCAGATAGGATTAGGGAGGGAGCAGAGCTGAGAGTGCTTCCTTGTGAATGTTCCTGATTGGAAAGTTTAAACGCCAGAATCACTAATTGTGCTGCATATCTCGTCAGGTTAACACATTATTTCAGATGGTTAGGTATGGAAGAAACAACATACACTTAATAATGCAAAAGTTCACAGAATATTGAGGATGTTTGGAGCCTGGCCATGAGAATGATTAGTCTCCAATATGGAACATCAATGGGACTGTGTTTGTCTTATGCACAAATTCATTTTCTAATTTTATCTATATAATAGTGACATTATTGTCTACTTTGACGAACCATTCAATTAAAAAAAGTATTAAACATTTCTTTGAACATTTTGTGAGTATTTATAGTGACTGTGTGCTCATAATTACCTTTGAATAATAATAAGAATTCAGGTACCTAAATAAGAGAACTTTTAATTTAAATATATTGTATTCTGTTACTTTTATTTTTACTTATCATTATAACTTCTGTTGTTTTTGAATATTTTTGTTGCAACTTGTTAGTGAATTCTGTAAATCAATTTTCAAAGTTGAAGTCATTTAACTGTTCCACAACAATGGGATGGAGTCAGTGAATTTATTTTCCCTACTTTCTTTGCTGACTCACTCAGTTAAGTAATAAAATCAAAGAAACAAGGCTTTTCAAGCTAAAGTTCAGGTTCATGGTTGCTAAATAATTTAACTCTTAAAATGGTCTACCTTAAATTTCAAACACCCATTTATTCTCTAAATTTTTTTAAACTAATAAATTTTGGTGATAGTTGGTGCTAGTAGTAGTAGTAGAATATACCTATTGTGGCGTCATATGATGGGTCAAAGCAAGATATGATATGAAAGTAATGAAAGCTGCAGCACAAATTTTTCTGAAAAGTTTTTCTAATTTAAGTTTGGTATTGACCTTTCTCAAATATTCAATCAATCTTCGTTTAGTGTCCAGAGACCCAGTTTCCAGAGGTAGGACGTTGTTTTCTTTGCCATCAATTTTTTGCGCCAAATTAGGCGATCAGTTGTATCTATTTCAGCTAAATTTAGAGCTTTCATGTCTTGCTCGATTGTATGCGACAGGACTTCTTTGGAAGGCCTTTGGGACGTGTGCCAGGTACTTCAACATCTGCAAGAGAAGTTATGGCACTGTTTCCACTTTGTTTGACATGACCAAACCACCGCAGACGGTATTGCCGGCATTTGTTCTTTATATCATCTAAACCAGCACGACGCAGGAATTCGGTAGATTTGATGTGGTCTTTCAGACTAATTCCTTGTGTCTATCGGAGCATTTTCATGTCGGTTCGTTGAAGTTGTTGTTCCAGTTTGGTTGTCATTAGCCATGTTTCTGCACCATATAACAACACCGGACGTATCACAGACTTATAATGTCTTGATCGTACCGATAGTGGGATGTCACGCCACATCAATATAGGGGCAAGGAGATGCCATTTATTCCTAGCTGCAAGTCACTCGATGTGACTTTCTCTACCTACAATGGCTTCAAAACCATTGCTATTTCGAATTTGTTGTTGAGGATTGATGCAGCTGGACAAACAAAATTTGACACTTTAGATTTTTTCTCAAATATTATATTTACTATAATATCTGGTGTCCATGCATTGAAAATTAAATTATGAATCTATTTAGTAAATGTTTTGGATGTCATTGAAAGTAAAAAAATATTTAAATTATAAATCTGATATAAATTTTAAAAAGAAACTGCTAAAAGTTTGTCACAGTTTCATACAAACAAATTTGTAACCAAAAGCACATTTATGAATCATAATTTGCAAAATATTTATTTTCTGATAGTATAAAAGTCTTTTTATCTAAATAAAATTATTATAATATTTTAATGATGCATTTAAGCATATACACAAGAGGCTGAAGAAATTCCAAAAGTGGATGATGATATTGGTAAAGCCCAGGAAGGTTCTAAAACAGATGATGAAGTTGTTCAAAGGTACCAACTGTATTATTATTTTTAGCCATCATAATTTGTTGGTTATTTTGTCTTTAAACTTCATGAGTCACAGGCTTGTTGATATGAAGAAACATAATTTTGTTGAAACGTGATTGCCACCAGAGTGTGGGAGTCAAGATTTTTGAAGAGTTGGGTATTTTTCATGCAAATCTGGAAGGATTTGAAATTTTTTTATTCTGAAAATATTTTTTAAGATTGTGTTTTTTAGAAGATGAATGCTTGTAGCAATATGCAATCATCTTTTATACTGAAACAACAACACACGTTTCGACGGCATTTTCCCCGAGATCGGGGGTTGCCGTTTGGCTACCTATGATGAAACCGAAATACCCCTCGACGCCATCCACATCTGTCACTCGCCTCAGTATCACGCAACCCCGCTTTCACCCTGTCCTTCTCCACCTGCTCTCTCCATCCCAATCGCGGACGACCCCTTCCTACCACTCCTTCAACCTCGAACTCCAACGCTCGCCTAATCCCGACCCTTTCATCCCTTCTCAACACATGTCCATACCACCGCAATCTCGATCTCCTTATCAATGTCACAATGTCCTCATTCAGTCCCATCATTGACATCGGCTCTGTACTACTCCTCCTATCCTTCACTTTAACCCCACACATCATCCTCACCATAGCTCTTTCAGCCCTCTGCAGTACACTTTCCTCCTCTCTCCTCAACACCCAAGTTTCACCACCATATACCATCGCTGCTCTCACACATGCTTTATATACCCTCTTCACTGACCATTTCTTTCCACACAATACCCCACCCAGTTCCCTAAATTTCATCCATCCCACACGAACTCTAGCCGTAACTGCGCTCAAACATCCTCCATCCGCATTCAGCTTATCCCCTAAGTAAACAAAGCTTTCCACTCTTTCAATACCACCACTCAACCCCGTCCTTGCGTCCGTCCTATTAATCACACCATGAACACATTTCTTACATTTGAACGTGCCTTCCACCTTTTTCAGTGCCCCCTCAAACCACTACATCTCTTATGCACCCATTTCTGACATCCTATACACAACACCGAGTTAGCATTCACTCTCCTGTCACATACCCCACAGGGGTCTATTTTACTTATCACTCGCTCCCCACCTTCCCCACTCACCATTACCTTCGTCTTACCAATATTAATTTTTCACCCTTTCTTTTTAATAACACTTTTCCATCTGTCAAATTTTAACTGCAATTCTTCCATGCTATCAGCCATCAAGACTAAATCATCTGCATACAAAATCTCAAATAACAACCCCTCCATTATGTTTCCACACACAACATCCATCACAATTGCAAACAGACGGTGATAACACTGATCCTTGATGCACTCCTACCTTAACACTAAAAGCGTCCGACATCCCACCTTCCAACCCTCACCTTTGTCTTTGCCCCTTCATACAGCTGCATCACAGCTTTAACAAGTCTCATTCACTCCTTTCTTCCTCAACGCCCATTCAATGACCTTCCTCGGTACTCGATCAAAAGCCTTTTCTAGATCCACAAAACACATGTACAATCTTCGTTTCTTCTTTCTATAATTCTCCTGCAACATTCTCACCATGAACAACGCATCCACCGTTCCCCTACCAGGCATAAACCCACACTGCATTTCATTAACTGTCACCATACTTCTCAACCTCCTCTCAAGCACCCTCTCCACTACCTTATACAACGGCACCAACACACTGTGTCGCCAGTCCTCAGGTATACCTTCATCATCAAACATGCTGTTAGCAATTCTCATCATAACTTCAATTCCTATCACCCCACTCGCTTTTATATGTTCTGCCGCCACTTCCGAAACCCCTGTAGCCTTACCTAGTTTCATTTCTCTGCTTTCTCTACTTCCTCCATCGTCACCTTCTCTATAGGTCCGTGTGTGACCGCGGATTCCACATCTCCATCCCACTCATTCTCTTCATTCATCAACCTTTCCATATGAGCTTTCCACACCTGAGCTTTTTCCTTCTCATCTATGCACAACTTGCCAGATCCATCCCAAACATATCCATTCCCTATAACATCCGCTTCCTCCGTCATATTCCTCCGTCATATCCCTTCTCCATACCCTAAACCTCTTCTTCTTGACCTCCAAAACCCTTCTTATATCTTCATCCAACCACCACGTCTCACCATGCCTACACATTCCTTTCGTCCATCCACATACTTTATCTGCCGTAGCCAACACACAGTCCCTGTATCTCTCCCAAACATCTCCATCCTTACCACTCTCCCAATTTTCAGCCACCTTCACTTCAAATGCCTTCCTCACCTCTGCATCCTGCAACTTCCATGTCTTTCTCTTTGCCATAAACTTATCCTTCTTCCTCCTCCCCATTTCTTTTGATGTCACATCCATCACAACCATACTATGCTGCAGCATACCAGGTATCGCCTTCACATTCTTCACATACTTCCTATGTTTGGCCCTTACCAATATATAGTCTATCATCGATCTATGTTCCCCTGACCTATAAGTAATCAATCGCGCTGGTTCCCTTGTGAACCAAGTATTCCCCACCACCATGCTATGTGCATCCGCCAACTCCAACACTCTACGCCCTTCCTCATTCCGTATACCATATCCCCATCCCCCATGTACACCTTCATATCCGTCTGCATCCGCCCCCACATGACCATTCAAATCACCCAACAACACCACAAACTCATTCAACCCCGCTTGCCCAATCTCGTCAGAAACATCATCATAAAACCTATCCTTCTCCTCTTCCTTCCTACTTTGTTGCGGAGCATATCCTGATATCACCCTCACTATTACTTTTCCAAACACCATCACCACCACAATTACACCATTACTTCTCCGCCTCACTTCCAACACCTTCTCCACCAACTCTTCTCTTACCATCACACCAACTCCTCCAGTACCATCATCCCCCTTCCACCACAACTTATATCTTCCACCTTTAGCCCCCACAAACCTTGTACCCTCACCCTTCCATCTGATCTCCTGTAATGCAGCCACGTCAACCATTCTCCTCTGCAGCTCCTCCACCACTTCCAAACTTCTTCCTGTCAACGTGCCTACATTCCAGGTACCAAACCTCCAACCCCTTGGTCTACAAGTAGTCTTTCCATCTATAGTGCCTTGCACCGCCACACTATAGAGTGGGGTGCCAATAGCTAGACCATCCACAGGGCCTTGCACCACAACCCCATGGACTGGGTCTCCGGAGATTCTTCGCACCCTCTTCTGCCGGATACTGAGGGCCATTGTTATTTCCGTCATCATAAGTATTATTTTTGGCTAGTTTTTACGCAGGACGCCCTTCCTTACGCAACCACAGTTATAAGCGGTGGGCCTAGCCTTTGATGATCCAACATCACTCACAAGGCAGTGAGGGTCAGTTTAATGTCATAACCAGGACTTTGTCATAACCAGGATCTTTTATACTGAAAATAAACGCTAATAATGTGAATAAAATCACACAATTTTCTTTCAGTATTTTTTGCTTGTAGCAATATGCAATCATCTTTTATACTGAAAATAAATGCTAATAATGTGAATGAAATCACACAATTTTCTTTCAGTATTTTTTGAAACATTGGTATAAAGTGAATTTGCTAAAAAACAATTATATTGACTAAATTTTAGTCGTTTTCAAAGTATTTTTCCTTTTTGAAGTGATGTTTAGGTAAAATTATGATGCAAAATTAAAAAAATTTTTGGGAGTCTGAACCTGAAATTGGAGTCAGGGGTTGGAGTCAGAAATTTTTACCCGAAGTCAGAGTTGGATATTTTTCATTTGACCCTGACTGATTGCCATGTGTATGTGTTTTTTTTTAGTCTTTTTTATTGCAGCTCTGACATATGCTCTAACCACTTACAATGTTACAAGTATATTGTCTATATATCTTTATTATGTTCTTCATATCTTCAACTATTGATTTGAAGCAGCCATCTTTCCCGCAAAGGTTGTTTATCCTTTTCACATGACGTACACATGTATTTATGTGCATGCACAAGCACCGCATCATATACACTGAGTATAATTTTAGTGGTTTTCAAAGTATTTTTCCTTTTTGAAGTGATATTTAGGTGAAATTATGATGCAAAATTAAAAAAATTTTTTGGGAGTCTGAACCTGAAATAGGAGTCAGGGCACCACATCATATACGCTGAGTATAATTTTAGTGGTTTTCAAAGTATTTTTCCTTTTTGAAGTGATAACTTCTGGGAGTCTGAACCTGAAATTAGAATCAGTGATTATTGAAATGCTTGACTCAGCGAGCATTTGAACCACTGAGCCATCTCGCCGGCATGCAACAACTTACGTTGTATACCCATGACTGGGGTCAGCTACCTGGATGAACCTGTAGAAACTGCAGGATTCGAACCCGGGTTGTGGGAGTGGTAGTCGGACACATACATACATATATGATGTATGATCTTTGGAAAATGGCGGAAGGAATAATTGTCGAGGTTAAAAGCGATAAAAAATACGTAATTGATACTTGTTATATTTGGTACGTTCGAAACCAGATAAATGAAAAGGAAATGAAAACTTCTCTATGCAAATTTTTTGAAGTTGACGACGTAAACAAAAGCGCAAAGTTTTTGCAGCATGAAGCCAGCACATTATCGCTCAGCCTGCCGGAGTTTTCCGAAGACGTTGACAAGAATATAATGTGGGACGAATTTCTTAGTATATGTCGGTTAATTTTTGAAACTAAAGTCGAAGACAAATTTTCTCGCTGACTACTTGTGGAAAGTTACAAATTGTGACATTAGATTCGAGAAATTGTCAGCTGAACAAGTGAGGTTGCAAAAAAGTGTTATTCAAAATAGTCCGGCCGTTCTGGAATTTCTTGAAGAGCATGGCAATATACTGAGTGATGTCCAAAAAAAGGTGAACAGTATTGTGTGCAGTGATGTATGCGTTGATGGAGATTCAGATGCTGAGACATCAGTCGCTAAAAATTTGTCTGACATTGCTAAAGAAGGTAACAATGATGGTGGCAATTTTATAACAGTCAGACGCAAGAAAAGAACAAACATTTTTCTATCAACTAATATAAGTCCATGTTGTCATGCAATATCAAAGACCACTGTTGAACCTCATAGGCCTATGCAATATAAAATATCAGCTAGTAAAGTTGTATATCGGAAAAAATTTTATCACATTGGTAATATTTCAAAGACTTGTGCATCCAATGTTGTTGACTACCTTGAGTCAATTAATGTTAAAGTTTTGTCTTGCTACCCTGTATTCAAGAGGAGAGATGACAAAATAAAACTTGATGAAACCCACTCTTCTACGTCATTCTGGTTGTGTGTAGATAAGAAGTATGCGGAAATAGTTGAAGGATCAAGTTCTTGGCCTTATTATGTTCAGATTAGAAATTGGGTTTTCAATAACAACAGCAAAAGTGGCAGCACCAGAAATGCCGATGTCAATGTCAGGACATGTTCTGATGTGAAACGATGATATGGAACTAGTGTCATGTTTTATTTGTAAACTTTAAATTTATGATTTGTTAATTTGACTTAATTTTTTTTCATTTACCCGCTATTTTTATATTATTCAAGTATACATTGTATATTCGTTCAATGTACATTGTGGATAAACTGTTGACTTTTGACAACCATTTCTTTAATTTATTGTTACTGGATTTTGAGAGTGCCTGTGAGATTTCATTTAATAGGTGCTATACAAATGCATTTAATAGTAATAATAATAATATATATTAAAAATTTTATTTTGTGCTCATTTGTGTCACATTTTGCAAATGTCTTTGTGTTCAAAAAGGGAAGAAGAAGCCATCAAACTGGATGGCCTAAGTGTGGCACAGATGAAAGAACTGAAAGATAAAGCTGAAAAACATGTTTTTCAAGCTGAAGTTGACAGAATGATGAAGTTGATTATAAACTCTCTCTACAAGAACAAAGAGGTTTATTAATTTTTATTTGCACATTAAATTATATCGTCACTGGGCTTGATGTAGTTTATATTGTTCTAATTGTTATTATTTTTACTTATAATAATCATCATGCACTTATTCTTATCAAAAGCAAATACATATTCTTTAATTGCATAATCAGTTGTTTAAGAAAGATTATTATAGTTGTGAAACCTCTTGAGTGTATGATGAAAAGTTTGCAGAGTTGCTGGCAACATAAAACAGCCCCATGCATATATTTCATACTTATATTTGAATCTATAATTTATTGGAAATTGTAGAAATGTCTTTTTTTATAGCTGATATGAATATTGTTATATTAATGGTTCCATGCTATTTTTATGTCTCTAATGGAAAATTGACTTGACTGGTTTTATTATTAGCTAATTTAGATATTCTATTTACAATTTATTATAGATATTCCTGCGAGAACTCATCTCCAATGCATCGGATGCACTTGATAAGATAAGATTTTTGTCATTAACTGACAATACAGCTATGGGAAGTAATGCTGAGCTTTCAATAAAGATAAAGGTTGAATTTTCGTTTTCCTTCTTTGTTGATAGAATTTGTTTTTTATTACTATTTTTTATGAAATGATTTATTTTTTCAGTTAGTAATGTATTAAAATAAATTCTCGTGTATTTTGTACTAAATTGCAAGTTAACAAACAAATTGTTAACATAACATAATGATAAATGGGCAGCTGCAGTTCTAGATTGCAATCAACTTTATTTTTCATTATCATGTACACTTTAATCAAATCTCTTCTAATTTTTTTTGTCATGGACAGGGCAGTTGCAGAAATTTTATCCTGTTTATATATTTTAATATGCAATCTTTGACCATTTTCGTTGCTCTTATTTATGAATTATTTATTATTTATGCTCTTATGAATTATTTATTACATTGTAGATGTGTTTATTAAATTTTTAGATAATTATCAAATATAACATCTTAATCTTTATTTTAACAGTTATCCCCCTTATTATTATCATTTTCTATCTTCAAAATAATCAGTAATCCATTCAACCAAATCAAATGCTTTTTCGAAATCCCTGTATATTGCATATGCATTTTTACCAATATCTATAGCTTCTGACCATTTATCTATAAACTTCAGGGATTGACCTGCAGTAGATTTTTTGGTAACAAATCCATGTTGTCTACAATCTATTAATTTGTTTATCCTAAATAGTTCAGTTAAAATAGATTTGACCAATGGTTCAAGTGTCTTGCAGCGAATACATGACATGTTAAAGGTGCAGGCCTATGTACTAGCACTGCATCTGTCATCATTTTTATAAACTGGAGCAATAAACCCAGATATCCAAATATCAGGGAATAGTTAAACTCTCCACGATCATGGTTCATTATATACACATATTGACACACATTATTATTGTTGTTGTTATTATTATTATTCAAGCTACATGAATATTTAGAAACTGTGTATGTACATTATAAACTCCTTCAAAATTTTAGGAAATATTTCTAGGCTTGCTGATTTTTAATAAAATTATCAATCTGTTTAATCCACAGATATGGTGAAATTTTTCATCTTAAACAAAATTTTTTTGAAACAAATATAAGTTTCTTCAGGAATATAGTTGGCATAAGCAGTTTTGAAAACTTGAGCCAGGCAATTTGCCTTACCAAAGTTGCAAAACACAATTTTTTTAATTCCATCCTTTATATATTCTGAATTAAATAATCTAAACTTGGTTTATTTTTTTTACGTCTGCAAACATCTTGCCAAGAGACTTTATTCTTGCTAGCTATCCTCAAAATTTCATTCTCTTTAATTTTCAAAATGTTTTATTCAATTTTTTCCTGTTGTTTCTAACTCAGAATGAGTTTGTTATAACTTGTTATAACAACTTTGTTATAACAACGGGTTTAAATAATTCGTTATAACAAATTTCTTCCATAATTTATTTCGTATACAATCCATAATTGATGTTATAGCTACAATAATTTCTATATCTCCAACGCCGTGTTGTAGCTTCCAATGATAGTCGAGAGTTCGTTTATCCATAGGTTCAAGATTTCCAAAAGATGAACGCAACTACTTTAGGCTCAAACTTTGCTAAACGTTTTTTGAATACCAGCAGTTATAGAAACGATAAATTAATCCAAATAGCTACATAAATCACATTTACGACTTCGCATCGAACCTTCACTTCTACCTCAACTTTTACCACTCCTCAGCTTTTATCACTCAACTGTCTCTATGCAGGCTATACACTAGGGTAGGTCAAAAAAATTTTTTTTTTTAGTAAATGAATTCTAATACCGAAAATATGTTGTAATAACACATCATAATGAACCATCTAAAATATTATTAAATTATTTTGAGAGGAAGAGCCCGCGCAAGCCGATGAAGTTTTGTGGAAAAAATGAAAAGATGAAAATACAGCCATTCAAAAAGCGTTTATATAAAAACATCGTGCCGTCACATTTAAAAAAAACAACGCTTTGTTGCTATGGTATCTTGGTCGTTGCTTAGTGTTCGTTAAAATACATGCTGATTTTGGTATTTAAATTATGTCATTTATCCTAAAAACCATTTTTTGGCGGGAAATGCATCTAGAAATTTTTTTTGAAAATTCCGCTAATTGTTGTTTTTTTTTCAAATATTTAGTTAACGTTAAACCAAACATGAGAATCGATGGTATTGATCACAGTCGGACTAAAAAATTTAAAAAAAGTTAGCTCGGAAATATGTATCACCAATTAACCGCCAGAAGAGTGATACTGATAACACCCAATTCAAGATGTCAGAAGAGTGTTAATTTCATCAATAAATGGTGATTCAGATACAAGTATTTCGTCAGCCGGAAAGTTGCACAAAATCAAGAAAAACCCTTAACTTTTACCTCAAAAACTATGGAAAAAAAGAAGTGCATCCAAAGTTTTACCGTTGTTGTCGCAATTATGGGACCGTTATGGAGTGTCTGATAGAAGCGGTGTTGCAATTGCTTCAGCAGTTTTACACAAACTTTCGTCGGATGTCGTGATTGATAAATCGTGACTGCAAAGAGTGAGAAAGAAAACACGCCAAATGAAATGCACCTGAATCTACCTGCTTCATATTTTGATGAACAAAAAGATAAAACAGGCAAGTAGTTATTGAAGAAAACGTATCTATCATTGAAGAATCGGATTCCATTTATTAAAAAAACTTTAGAGGCCCTTGAAATGGATTATTTGCATGCTTCATTTGAATGAACTGCCTTTCAGGCATTTGTTTGATCACATCGACGGTAAAACGTCTGGCCCCTCTTCATACAATGGTTCTATTGGTATGTTGCTGGATAAATGTGAAACGGAAGCTGTAATCGAATTCGAGCCAATACCATGTCAATTACCGACACTAAAAACCGATGACAGACCAAAAATATTTGTATGAAATTACATTAGCAATAATTACTGGAAGAAACTCAGATGATTTGATAAAATAGTCATCTGTAAATATTTCACAAGCTCGTTGATTAACTAAAGCTAACCGGATTTTACGTCTTAACATTTTTACACCTGCATCATCAAATAATTTATTCGATTTGGCTCAATACGTTATAAAAGTAAATGGTGTGGTTTCTAAAAAGAATACACCTATCATGTAAGGTCGGATCACGGCATCTTTGAAAATTAATTGAAAACTTGCGATATTTACCAAATGCGTTAAAAGCAGTTGTAGATTCTGTTATTCAGTGGGACGCGTATTTTGCTCATCCTAAAAACTGACATCAAGCAGGATTTCTTGTATAAAAAAAATTTATTTGATAACTTATATTTATTTTGTTAAGGCTTTGGCTTTTAATATTACTGAGTACTTACAAAGTCATTTGTCTTGTTAGAATGGCATTTGGCGACTTGTTTTGACTGATTTTTTTCAGTTTATCACTTACCAACATTACCAACATTAATAATCGACTCCGGCATACCATCCTCAGGAATCGATTGAACATTAAGGGTACTATCATCTGTAAAATGTTTGGTATCTCTACTAACTTACTTGTAATATCACTTGAAGTTGCAAATGCTCATACAGTTTATTTTATTTACTCAACTCAATTTTTCCTTATTAAGTCCTCCTTTCCCACACTTTAAACATTTATCTTTTCCAGTCATAATGTAATGTAATGAATGCTTTCAAATGGGGACAACTGAACAATACTTGGGCAAAAAAGAGACTGGCATGTGATGCTTGACTGACCTGTTTTGCTGGTAATTCAACTATTAGTTACAATGTCTTGCAACATAATTCCAACTGCAGCCGCAATAACGTATTAATAATTATTACAAACGAACTTACTTTTACAAAATAAGCTTAATCAATCAATCGATCCTCGTTTATAATCTCCATCCGTTATGGGTCGGACCTTTTTTCCATTCATCAGTTTCTGTCTCCTAGTCGATCTATCCATTAGAGAACGCCCGATTTTCCGCAACATCCCTCCACTGTTGCGTACTTCCTAGATATTGTCACCCCTTGACCATTTAAAGTCTTCCAGGGAATAGGGAAATTTTTCTTTTTTTGTGATGACATGGAAGATGTTTTGGTCAAAAAAATTTTATATCTGGAATTGCCCGATTCCTAACGACAACCACCAGTTATAAGCAGTGGGTCTAGCCTTTTTGCTGGGAGCACACAAGGCAGCGTGGTTGCAGTTTATCTCGTGGCCAAGAGAGCACTGTTGTATGCTCGAAGAATCGAAGATCATCCGCTGTTGGAGCCATTGTCCTAGGATCCTCCGCCTCTTTCATCGTTGTCTTTCTTCTGGTACAGTTGGTTCGCGGCATCTTATTCCATATTATTCGATGCAATCCTAAAAGGTCTCCTCTATCCTCTATCTGACTTTCCTATATCCACCACCTGGGGACGCACCTTATAGCCAGTGCACCCCAGCAAAGATAAGCTTAATCAATAAACTTTAATTAAATTTGTTTGTTTTTAATTTATAATGTATAATAATTTGACTCAATTATCACAACCTAAGACTTATTTTTAAATTATTTTTTAAATTTCTTTGTAAAAATTAATAGACTAGCCAGAAAGTTTGAACATGTTAATTTAATGCATTTTTTTAAAATATTTATTATGACTTAGTGTTAAAAATGAAAGTTGATATCAATCTTGTTTTAATGAATTTAGAAAGTCCATTTAAATTGTTTCACAAGTTTTGTTTTAGCATCCTTACAATTAGTAAGCTTAACATGCTATGCATGCGTCTCTTGCTGAAGGCCGGTTATTACTCAGGATATTTTTTGTCAAAATATTAATTCATATCAGTCACTAAAATGAATGCGTCCATAATAATACTTTTTTAATGTCACTGATATATTGACATTTTAATATTACGTTAGTACTACAACGATTGAATCGTATGCTAAATTTTTGGTTTTGCCACGTTAACAATATCAAATCAGTTTCCTGGTTTTTTGTAAATTTGGAGATTCAACACTAAATTAATTTAATTACACAAATCATTGATTCATATGCTATAGAAAAATTAATAGCTGGATTATACGTAGATGTTTTTAACTGTTTATTTGTTATAAAATTCTTGACGCAAAACGATTAATTGATTGATTGAGTGATTGATATTTGTTATAAAATTGCTATATGTGAAGTTGCATGTAGACATTTAATATTGAGTTTTCAAATCACCAACTTTTCTTATTTATTCATGAAAATTTTTTTTGGCCTCTCAGTATATTTCTTGCATTTATGGTTGATGTTTAGCTTTGTGTTCAATATGTTTAGATGTTATAATATGCATATTATTTATCATTCATGTGAATATACTGTTTTGTGATGTTAACAGACAGACAAAGACAATCATGTCCTACATGTTACAGACACCGGTGTTGGGATGACGAAAGATGATTTAATAAAAAATTTAGGTACTATTGCTAAATCGGGAACAAGTGAATTTTTAACAAAAATAGGAGAGGCAAAATCTCAACAAGAAACAAGTGATCTTATTGGCCAGTTCGGAGTTGGGTTTTACTCTTCCTTTTTAGGTTAGTTTAATCTCTGCATAAATAATATCTTATCTACAATAGACTCTTATAATGTTTCTGATTCTGTCCATCACAAACACGATGATTATAATTACATTGTATCTTCAATTTAATTCCACTGTTCCTAAAATTCTTGTTCATCCTCAGATTTTGATTTCAATTGAATCTATTTAACATGTTACTCTCCTTTTAAAACTTCTAAATTGAGATATAGCTTTTTATAGGCAAAACAATGACTTGTTTTTACTTTCTTTTTTTTTGCTTATTGTTATATATCATAAGATATAATTTTTGGGCATTGGTCCTTATTAATAAGTGTTATTTTTTTTTAAACAAATGTTTGAACATAGTGGCAGATAAAGTTGTGGTTACCTCAAAGCACAATGATGATGATCAATACATATGGGAGTCAGATGCTGTTTCCTTTTCAACCGTTGCTGATCCTAGAGGAAACACTTTGGGTAGAGGAACGACCGTAAGGTGAGCAAGAAGTTACAAATTGATTTCAAAACGTTTTACTAAGGTAGGCAAGTTTCGTAATTGATTTAAAAACGTTTTACTAAAGAGAGCAAGTTCCAAATTGACTTCAAAAAGTTTTGCTAAAGTGACTACTTAATTGATTTCAAAACGTTTTACTAAGGTGAAGAAGTTCTATAATTGATTTCAAAACGTTTTGCTAAAGTGAACTAGTTTCAAATTGACTTTAAAACGTTTTGCTACTTACGTCTTATTAAAGGTGGGCAAGTTCCATAATTGATTTTACTAATATGAGCAAGCTACAAATTTATTTCAAAATGTTTTACTAAGGTGGGCAAGTTTCGTAAATTGATTTCAAAACGTCCTACTGAAGTGAGCAAATTCCAAACTGATTTTAAAATGATTTATTAAGGTGAACGAGTTCCGTTATGGATTTCAAAACATTTAACTAAGGCTATGTTCCTTGTTGATATATCGTTTTTCTAAATTAAGCCAGTTTTAAGGGTTTTTTTAAATTTATTGTTGAAATCAAACGTTTCTGTAATTTAGAAACTTGTGCCTAGTTTATTAGCAATACGAGAAAACGCGTTTTTTCATAAGAGGTAAATTACAACTAGAAAAAAGCATGTTTATGATGAAGAATCCAAAAAATATCTGCTAAAGTGAAATTTTCTAAACCATAATTTCTAAATTTGTTCAGCCTCCATTTGAAAGAAGAAGCACATGAATATCTAGAACTCAGCAAAATTAAAGATCTTGTCAAAAAATACAGTCAGTTTATAAATTTTCCTATTTATGTCTGGGAAAGCAAGGTTAAATATGTTTTTGTAAATAAATTGTAAAATTTTATTATGATATTTCTAAATTTTATATATCATTTCTCAAGTCGAAAAATGTTTCCGAGAGTCAAAACCTGCAGTCTAAAATTTGTGTCAAAGGGCTGAAATCTGATATTTTTCATTAAACTTTGACATTTTGTAAGTAACTTACATAGCCATAACTGAGCCAAAGTTCAGTTTGAACACGTCCGGTTTAAATTAGTGTTATTATCTTTGTTTTTATTATTACTGGTAATATTTTATTTTACGCTTACCTTTACACAATGAATTTATTGTGCATTTATCTCAAACAATCAATTTGCACACCTGTAGAAACTTGGTCATTGTGCTAATTTTGGCGATGTTGCAAATTGGTGCTTCGGTGATTTGCATTGTTTAATGACAATTTCAAAGAAGAATGTGCAATTCGCCCGTCTTCTAGCAGAGCTGCAGCTATTCCAGATGCAGCTAACGCTAAGCAACACCATTTCGCGATCTGATCCTCGCCAAATTAAGATTGCTTTCCGGTTCCTCCGGGAGCATCAAGGAAATAAATTCCACCAAATCCACTATTCACAGCTTCCATCAAAGTGTTGTACGCTATTTTTTGTTGTTGATTTAATTGTGGAATATATGTACGAACTGTTTCGGCCAATGCTTCAATGTCGTACTGTTCTCTTTGCAACTCGTGGTTTAATGCATCGTGCATATGACGATTTGGTGCTGTCATTTCCAAACACGACAATACTTCTATCATGATCAATCAATGTCTCATTGTAAATTTCTGCTGTCATTTTTAGTGTAGGATTCTAGGTTTTTCGGCGTAAACGATGCAAAACATCCTCAGACATGTCATCTCTATACTTAACCCACAAATCTTTTGGATTCGAAGGGAAACATGTCGATATGATAATTAAAAACAATGTACGAATTTGATGCGGCGAGGAAGATATTACAAAATCTTATCATCCCATTGTATCATCCCATTTTGAATTGTTCTTAAGTAAATGCAATAGTTGACATGCCTCACTGTAAGTTTCACACAGCTGTCCATTAACTGTTCTCAGTTTAAACGATGTCAGACCACGAACATTCACCAACAACAACCGCAAATAATAACATTCATCGTTTTTTAGATATACTACGTAAATGCGTCTGAAGAAAATACATTAAGATGTCCTTCAACTGGTGTTCTTTGTTTTCGACGCTGAAACGATTTCGATGATGCATTCCAGGTGTAATAGCGTGGCGTGTCAGCATACAGCAAAGTGCGAGCAAAATCATCAGTTTGACAGACTGTGAAGAAACTTGTTAATGTTGTCGACAGTCAGTGGCGGACTAAGCCTAAAGCAAGCCCTGGGCAACATTGGAATTCCGGGCCTATTTTTCAGTAATGACAAATACTTTACGTTCGATAGTTTGGTTTTAATGAATATGGTATGTAAATCAGTTACCAAAATTTTAAAAAAATGTACACAAATTAAAGAAACATCATTTATTAAAAAAAACAAACATAAACATTTATTAAAACAGTAATATAAATACATCAAGACTGATATATCTATATAATTGCCTTTTTTCTCACTTTCAGACAATTAGTTTGTCATATTTAATAGAATTATTCAACAACTCTTTTTCTATATAAAGTAATGATAAGCTATTTAATTTTTGTTGGCCCAACGTGGATCTTAAAAAAATTCTCTATTCTACCCATTACTGAAAATGATCTTTCACCACTTGCATTGCTTACCGGAAGGGTTAAATAAATTCTCAGAATTACATTTAAATTAGGAAATGTTGCAATAATGTTATTTTCCTGAATAAATGACCACATGGATACAGGCGAAGGCGAAATAATATTTTCTTTACTTATAAAAGTCTTAAATTGAACTACTTCGTTTTTCAGTTCTTCTAGGTTTAAATCTTGTTCATAACATTTTAATTCCTGTAATGAAGAGTAATTGATATCACTGTCATAAAAAATTGTTTTAAATTTATTATTAATAGTTTTGTATGCTTCACATCTTTTCTTAATGTTGCTAATTAAAGAATCGCATACAACAAAAAAAATATTCACTTTAAAATGTTCTTTGCCACTGAGTTATATTTCAAGTTCTGGAGTTTCATCATGAAATAGTTTTCGTATTTTCTGTCGCTTTTTATCATTAATATATGCAATATCTTTAACTTTTTCTGCTTCTTTTTCTAAATGATCAAAATCGTCTCTAACAGTTTGTATGAAATCTATTAGCGAATCATAAATTAGAACTGCTGTATTTAAGGATTCGTCTTTTTGCTGAAGAGTCTTGTTTGAAGCATCTATTCTTTCTAAAAAATTTTCACATATAGTAAGTAACAGTACATACTCAAATGTATCAAGTTTTTTGTATAAATCGGCAGCTTCTGATCTTGTTAATGGTTTCTGATCATTGTTTGAGGAAAAATGGCGTAAACAATGTTTAATTTCGTCATAATTTTCCTTCAAGGCTTTTACAGCATCGGAACGAGCTGACCATCTGGTGTCACAAACAGGTTTAATATTCAAGTGCTTGCTCTTACAAAATTTTTTTAATTCATTCCACCTATGTGTAGAACTTGAAAAAAATACGTACAATTCTTGAACGATATTGAAAAAAGTGGTTATTTCCATGCAACTTTCGGCAGCAGCATTTCCAATTAAATTTAATGAATGATTTGAGCATGGTATGAAATGAGCAGAAAAAATATGTTGTTTTATTCTGGATTGGAGTCCCTTATATTTACCTGACATATTAAATGCGTTATCATAACTTTGTCCTCGACAATTAGTGATGTCTAAATCAATGCTATTTAAAAATTCTAAAATAACTTTTTCCAAGTTATCACCAGTATGAGAAAATATAGGTAGAAATCCCAAAAATCTTTCTTTTATACCACTTGGAAGAACGTACTGAATAATAACTGTAAGCTGATCTACATGAGATACATCAGGGGTTGAATCAATAATTAGAGAATAAAATTTAGCTTCCTTTATTTCGTTCAGTATCGTGAGTTGCAAATCTTTTGATATAATCAAAATAAACTCATCACATATGGTAGATGACAAATAACTTATAGTTCCGGTGCTGCAATTTGCATATCTTTTCATGTGTTCACGCAAAAATGGATCAAACTCGGATAAATATTCTAAAGCACCTATATAATTACCATTATTTTCACTAAAAAGAACATCATTTTTACCACGAAATGCTAAAGAGTATGAAGAAATAAATTTGATTGTTGCTACCACACGTTTAAGTACCTCCCTCCAGTATTTTTTTTCATTCATTATTTGTTTTTCCAATTCAGTATCAATACGCCCAGTAATTTTAGATCTTTTTACATAAATTAAAATTGAGTTAATGTGGTCGCTGGAGTTTTCATGCTCTGACAATTTTTTATGGATATTTTTCCAATCATTCGTTCCTTTTGCCATTAGTGTTGTTTGCTTGGAAAATAATTTACAGACGTAACAGTACAATAAGTTTAACTTTTTCTTCACTATTAATTGTTCTGAAGAAGGAAGCGATAGTTAATTTTCTTGTGAATTGTTTTGACCCTTCGTTGCATCGAATGGAAGATGATTCTAGAGATCCATTTATCGATTTTGGTGGATTTTTGACATAATACTCTAGCATGACGTCTGTTAGGTATTCTGGCCATAAAGCAATGTCGTTTACAAAACTCATTTTCATCATTACTTTCAGATGATTTTAATATATATATCTTCTTTTGCTTCATCTTCACAATCGGAATTACTTAGTTTTTCCCGCTGATATTTCTGCTGAATAGATTCACATTCGTGTGATGCTTCTGGAATTTGAGCAGGTAAAATTTGTGAAAATGATGATGATTGTTGTGATTTTCGTTTTCTTTTTTCACTTCCACTTAGATGCTTATAGGAACTTATTATAAATTTAAGACCACGTACTAAAAATAAAAAAATCAATTAACATTATTTTTACTCAATTATAATAAAATCACAATTTGTAGTATTACTGATTTATAAAGCCCTTCTTGTGAGTAAACTTCAGATATCAGTATCAATTGAATAATGTAATGTAATATTTCCACAAAACTCACATCTTAAATTAACGAATTCCAGAAATTATTAACTATCAATCCAAAACTAAAAACTAAACAAATCAAAATCTATTGACAAAGCAATTTTATAAATGACCGATATTCAACTTTGACGATTTTTCAAAATGGCAGAAAACGGGCTTTTTTCAAATTTATAACACGAGATTAGTTCAATGTTCATTATTTCTTCCAGCAACAAAGAACCAATGAGCATTTAATTATAAAAATTGAAAAGTGAATAATTTAATACTTTTATAAAAACTCACATTTTTTTGTAGGAATTCCAGAAAATGAATCCAAAAAATATTTTGCAAAGCAATTTTTAAAATATTCGATATTCATTTTTGCCGATTTTTCAAAATGGTTTCATTGCGCTTTCTTGTTAAATTTAGAATTTGAAATTTGTTCAATGTTAATGTTTAACATTTCTATTAAAACCAAAAAAAAACATAAAAATATAATTATAAAAATTAAAAAAAGTTAAAATCGAATTTCCGGGCCCCCAAAAATTACGGGCCCTAGGCAATTGCCTAGTCAGTCTAGGCCTTAGTCCGCCACTGTCGACAGTGGATGTGCCGCTCTGTCTGCCGCGTTTGATTCATTAAAATAAACTCGTTGATCATTTTCTAGATATAGATATCTAGATATTTTTTAGATTACATAGATCAAGCGACATACCAGGAACTTAAATAGTCAAAACTTCATTGAAATAGAGTGAATGCACTGGAGTGGGGGTCATTGGTTTGTGAGGCTGGCGAACGGTAGGTGGGTTTTTTCTCTTCGTGCTGACGTCAGCTTCTGCTTTGTTTTTTTCTGGTTTCTACGGTATGGTTATTGAATCTGTTACCCATCAACTTAAAAAGACTGGAATAAACTATTACAACCTTACCTCTTAAAGTATACTTAAGTCAAAGATTACCATTTATTTTTCTGGATTGATGTCTTGATATAGTTTGATCGGATTTTTCCGTTTCGGCTGTGATTTTGAGGATGTAATAATAATAAATAATTATGAAAAACAAAACAAAAATTAGGAAAAAAATATTAAAATTACTGTCACATTATGGTACCATCTTGGGAGCTGCAGTGCCGTTAAAATCTTCATAGAAAAAAAAAGATTACATAGACATTGTATCACAATATCATAATACTTTTTTCCGTGTTCTAAAAAGCGACAGGATGGATTGATTGACACATTAATGGAACTTTATTAAATATCAATAAAGTTCAAATTGACTCTAAATTTTATTTAGAAAACGTTTATATGGGAAAAAGGGCTGTTTTTAGGATTTTCCCGGCAATTATTCGAATTTTTCTCACCTTTTTAATCCTCTCTAGACCTCCTCGAACATTTCAAGACCAAGATAAGATAAAACCGTTCAGCCGTTCTTAAGTTTTAGCAAGACTATCGAACAGCAATTGATTTATATAATATATATTTATTTAATTAATTCTTATTTTCCTTATTTTTTATTATATCTGGAAGTTGGCTTTTAATGATGACTTATTCATAAATACTTCAACACTATAATTTAAATTCAATGAATAATGTTTCTTTAAATTATTTTAATAGGTTGAGAAAGTAGAGGATGAAGAAACAGAAGAAAAACTAGATTCAGTAGCTGATGAAGATGAAGATGGAAAAGTGGAAGAGGAAAAAGAAAGTAAAAAAGAAAAAAAAACAATTGAAAAAACAGTTTGGGATTGGGTATTGATTAATGAAAGCAAGCCTATTTGGACTAAAAAGTAAATTTTTTTCTTTATATCAAAATTTATTTTTATAAAATGTTGTTTATCCTGTTATTTGTACATTTACTTTGCAAAATATTAATAGTACTTTGTAATATTCTTTTTTCAGACCAACTGAGGTTTCAGATGAAGAGTATGATGATTTTTATAAAAGTTTCACAAAAGATACAGAAAACCCTCTTGCAAAATCCCACTTTACTGCAGAAGGAGAAGTTACTTTTAAATCAATTCTTTACATTCCAAAATCGTCTCCCATTGATATGTTTCAAAATTATGGAAAAAAATATGATTTCATCAAAATGTTTGTCAGACGTGTTTTTATAACTGATAACTTTGAGGATATGGTTCCAAAATATCTATCTTTTCTTCGTGGAGTGGTTGGTTAAAAATATTTGTTATTAATTATTTTTAAAAACTGAGTGATGAAATTTTCATTGTTTATATAGCTATAACGAGGATGGTTTATGAGAAATATTATTCATGTGTATTACGTTTGAATACACTGTAAAAAGTGAGAGTAGATCATATGCACATTGTAAAATGACATGTTGTGTTTGATTTGTTTATTTATTCGAAGAAATTAGAATTGGATGTAAAACTAAAAAAAATTCATTTTCTCAATGTCAATTTATTACTGATAGTCATTATAGTGAGGAAAGTCTATCGGTAGCAAGAAATTATTTTAACGGTCTATCAAATATTATAAATTGGGCAAGAACAGTCTTGATTTCAATTGGGTACGAAAATTTAAAATTTCAATACTTATATTGGTCTTAGGAATGAATGTAAGAGGTCTGTTTGTATCTGAAAATTCCCGTTGCTATGTACGCCGGGACATCTGGTCTGTATATATTCCTCTTCTCGTGGCATAGTCGCATTCATTAATAATAATTCTTAGAAAAACTTTTACTAATGTATCAATTACTCCTTTTAGCCTCACCACTTCTGTTTTAGGCATCATTTTCTAATGCTGTTTATGTATCAACACGTTCCCAACTATGCATTTTTTCCCCTAGCTTCAACAACTATATTTTTTTTTAAATAAATGTTTTTTTTGTGGAAAAGTTTCAGAGTTTGAACAAAGAAATGATAAATTTTTGTCAGCTAAAATTTTATATTTCTTTATTATCCAAATGAATACATAAATTATAATGTAAATAATTTTTTATGCTTAGGTTGATTCAGATGATCTTCCTCTTAATGTTTCAAGAGAAACTTTACAGCAACATAAATTGCTAAAAGTAATTAAGAAAAAATTGGTTAGAAAAGCGTTGGATATGATTAAAAAAATCAGCGAAGATGATTATAAAATATTTTGGAAAGAGTACAGCACAAAGTAAATTTTATGAAAGTTATTTTTATTGTCATAATTATCATCCTTAGTTTGAAATATAATTAAGTCAAAATATGCAAATAATTTATTTTTGCTAATAGTCAAATAGTTTCAAAGATAAAAAACGATATATGTATATATATTTATATATATATTTATATGTATATATATATTTATATATATAAAATCTACAGAATTTCTAGCGTTAGATTGTTTTTTTATTACGTTTCTCAATATTATATGTCCCCTTAACGGCTGTGCACGTCAGAATGTTTTATATATTGGAGTAACCACAACATCGCTAGCTAGACGTCTGAATATGCACAAAAGGGAAGGTTCTATAAAAACACACTTAGAATACACACACAATATTGGAACTACAAGAGAAATCCTGGACAACAACACCAAAATAATATACTGTAATTCCAGCCATTCCAATCTGAAATTAGCAGAAGCCATTCTCATCGACATAAAACAGCCTCTGATAAACAAACGACAAAAGATTTCAACGATACTCCCAACAAAAAGGACAATAATAAAATATATTAACAACAATAATGGCACCGATAAAGACACTGGAGAAAACAACAATGACCAGAATGCTATCAAAGCAATAAAACACAACACGGAAGCAATAAAACATAGTACCAAAGTAATTAGCCCAAACAAAGAAATCATATCAATTAATAAAGAAGATAATAGTAAAGTCAATAATAATAATAAAGAAGATAGTAAAATTAACAAAGTCACTAACAACGATGAATGCAAATCACAGGAACAAACTTGCGCTGATGATGATTTATTTGGAATCGAAATATGGCTTATTTGCAGCATGAATTCGGAGAATAAGTTTATTTTGAATTTTAATAAACTAAACGTTCTCCAAAAAACTTAAGTGAGAAAAATCGAAAAAACGAAGTACAAACATATTAATGCCAAACATTCAGTAGAATTTATAATATATATATATATATATATATATATATATATATATATATATAGTATGTTTTACATGTGATGTCAGTTTTTTAAAGAATACAAATGCCAAAAACTTTTTTAAATCTCACAATTTTTACTTTTGTTTATTCTAAGTATCAAACTTGGAACAATGGAAGATCATTCCAACCGCACGAGACTGGCTAAACTCTTGAGATTTTATTCGTCAAACTCTGATACTGAGCTAACATCATTAGCTCAGTATGTGGAAAGAATGAAAGAAAAACAAGAGCACATATATTTTATTGCTGGCACTAGCCGCTTGGAAGTTGAAAAATCACCATTTGTTGAGAGATTGCTGAAAAAAGGATATGAGGTATTGTTAACAAAAATACATCTACAACACAGTGATCTTTATAAATAATTGTATGTATGTATGTGTATATATATAAATATATATATATATATATTACATAATTATGTATATATATTTATTTATTTATAACTTATTATTTGCCATTCATGTGCAGGTATTGTACCTAATAGAGGCTGTTGATGAATATTGCATACAGTCATTACCAGAATTTGAAGGCAAAAAGTTCCAGAATGCTGCTAAAGAAGGTTTAAAACTAGATGAATCTGAAAAAATGAAACAAAAGAGAGAAGAGTTAGCCAAGGAATATGAACCTCTCCTGACTTGGATGAAGGATGATGCTTTAAAAGATAAGGTGTGCTTGCCAACATTAGTTTATATTTAGCCAAAATGTAAATTGTATCTATATATATTGCTATATTGCGTTTTAGATTGAGAAAGCTGTCATAAGTGAACGTCTAACAACATCTCCGTGTGCTCTTGTAGCAAGTTCGTTCGGTTGGTCTGGAAATATGGAGAGAATTATGAAATCTCAAGCTTACCAAAAAACCAATGATCCTAACAATCAGTACAATAATAATAATTAAAAGTGGAATGAATTTTCGCTAACAATATTTTTTATTTGCAGGTACTATGCCAATCAAAAGAAAACGTTGGAAATAAATCCTTACCACCCTCTTATCAAGGTACTTAAAAATAGATTGGATACTGATAAAGAGAATCCAACAACTGCTGATCTGGCTGTTGTTTTATTTGAGACAGCCACTCTCAGGTCGGGATATTCTGTTGGAGACACTGCACAATTTGCGGAGCGAATTGAAAGAATGTTGCGACTTAGCATGAATGTGCCATTACACGAAAAGGTTATAACTACAACATAAACTTCTTTAAATTTTGTTTTTACTAGGCTTTAGGCTCATTCCTTTTTTAATTCTTAATGACTTTTTTATAGGTTGATGATGATATCGATGATGTAGAAGAACAAACAGAAGAAGTTGATTCTAAAAGTGCTGAAGACGATGATGACGATACAAATACTAATCAAGGTGCTGACACGCCTAAAGCAAAAGACATGGATGAGGTAAAGTTGATTTCTTATTGATATTATTAATGTCTCTGTTGTATTCTCAAAATGTTCCAATCCCATAGCTATAATTTTCTGTTTATGAATTCTTTTTATGCATTTTTTTGACAACTAATTCGTTTTAAACTGATTTCTTCCGTATTCTTTTTCAGATTTTGTTATAAGATTTAATATTGTTAATTTCAGGACGACAATGATTTCACTAGACCAGATGATGAATTATAACAAGAATTTGTGAAGATTATTGCTCGTTATTGTTTTTTTTTAATTTATATTAAGACTGGATTTTCCTAACTTTGTGTCATTTGTAATTTTTGTTATAGGCGTTAATAAAAAATGTCTTTTATGTATTGAAAAGTTGTTATTAATACCATGGAAGTAATAAAAATCGTTTACTGAACAAGATATGACATCTCAATTTAGACTGGTTTTACATTTCATTTCGTTTCGTATTTGCTACGCAACGCAATTCTATGAATTCGACTGCGTAGGCACTTGGCGTCTTTGATCTGGAATTGCCTTGTTCTATCTCATTTGTTGGGCACTACTAGATGCCGGAGATTCAATGACCGCGCGTTTATTGTAACAATTGGTGCTGGGCTACTCGAGCAGGAAATCATAAAAGGCGTGAAATGGACTGTAATAGCATTGCTCTCAGGTCAACGTTCAGATCAAACGTTTCATTTTACTTATAAGTAAATCAATGTGTTCTGTCATATCACTTTTTGAACGACTGTCGGTAGCTAGAAATTTTATTAATGCCATATATACTTGTGTGTATAAATTACTACAAATCATCCGACGGAGCAGTTTTGCGATCACATCATGCGTAGGGAAAGAATGGAAAATCTTACACCTATTGTCCAGATAGCAAGAGGAAGAGATCGCGATCAACGTCGAGTTACATTCATGGAGTTTCGTGTCACTTGTTGAATATCACTTCATTTCATTATCAAATTTATTCAGTTCATAAGCAGTAGGTTGTTGTTGAATATTTATAGCTAAACATCTTTGCAAAGATTATTATTGTAGTGAATTATTTATGTTTTGTCAAGTGTCTGGTGATTTTTGTGCTGTGACTTTCTTTCAGGTGATTTTTTATTGCATGATGATGAATAAAATATTTGAAAAAAATGAATAAATAATTATATATTTATTAATAAACTAAAATATTGTAAAATTTGTGGAAACTGGTGATACCAGACCGTAAAGCGAAATGAAAATGTACGCGTATGCGTTCGAGGGTCATTATTTTTAGTTATATGACCGGAATCGGATATTTTTGGTCAGACTCTGACATTCTGGACAAAACTCTATTTTTAAAATAATGGTATTTTTTTTATCATAGTTTAGTGGGTTGAATTTAAATCACAAAACCGCTATGCAATGATGACATTTGGGATCTAATATATGCTGATGATATCGTTTTAACTGATATCGTTTTAACAGCCACGTCTGAGCAGAATGCAGCACAGATGTTTGAAGATTGGAACACCAAACTTGCCGATCATGGATTCAAAATTAACATCAGCAAAACCAAAGCAATGAACACTGGTGAACCCATCCAATCCACAGCTATTGGACAATGGCCCTGTTCAGTTTGTAAAGCTGGTGTAGGTAACAATTCAATCAAGTGTCCACAGTGTAACCAGTGGTGTCACAAACGTTGTTCAAAAATAATTGGTACTTTATGTAAAGTGTCTAATTTTGTTTGTCCTGCTTGCATCAATCCACAAAAACATTCGAAATAGCAATGTTTTTTAAGCCATTATGATAGAGAAAGTCGCATCGTTTCAATATCTAGGGGATGTTCTTGGTTGTACTGGATCAACTGAAGCTGCCGTTCGAGCACGCATACTTGCAGTCTGGAATAAATGGCGTCTTCTTGCCTCTATATTGATGCGGCGTGACATCCCACTACCACAGCGATCAAGACTTTATAAATCTGTGATACGTCCGGTGATATTATAAGGTGCAGAAACATGGCCAATGACAACCAAACTGGAACAACAACTTCAACGAACCGATATGAAATGCTCCGATGGATGCAACGAATTAATCTGAAGGTCCACATCAAATCTACCAAAATCCTGCGTCGTGCTGGTTTAGATGATATAAAGGACGAATGTCGGCAATACCATCTGCGGTGGTTTGGTCATGTCAAACGAAGTGGAAACAGTGTCATAACTTCTCTTGCAGATGTTGAAGTACCTGGCACACGTCTCAAAGGCTGTCCAAAGAAGTCCTGGTCGCAAACAATCGAGCAAGACATGAAATATCTAAATTTAAATGAAATAGATACAACTGATCGCCTAATTTGGCGCAAAAAGTTGATGGCAAAGAAAACAACGTCCTACCTCGGGGGAACTGGGTCTCTGGACGCTAAACGAAGTTAGATTATTAGATAGATTAGTTAGTTGAATTTAGCAACGCGCCCCCTGTAAACTACCGGTCATCATTATGTATGATTCTATGGCAACCGACTTGTTTCATTTTTATTCAAAAACTTCAGATTGGTTTAAATAAATTAAAACTCAAGTAAAATTAAAAGTTTTGATCTGTAATCTAAAAAATATTAAGGTAAGGATACAAATTTATTAATAATTTGTAAACCTTTATACAAACTGCTTTTCACAGAATCATTTAATCTTATCTTAATGAATCTGTATAGTATACAATACAATACAATTTTATATTGATAATTGTTTATATATATTATATTATATAATTATTACAATATATTGTCACGATGGTTCGTGAGGTTTCCTGCGACGGTGAAGCGTATTTAACAAGCGGAGTTGATTATTTCAAATCTGCTGAAGCTGAACATTTTTTGATGAACTATTAATTTTTTGTTCAAAAAATAATTTTTTTGAAATTACATTACGTTGTTGATTAGATTATTTTTTTTAATTAATATAAATTAAATTGAAAATTAGCTTTAAAATATAACAAAAATTTATTTATATGTGCATTTCAAAGAGTTGATAATTAGATAATTTCATCCTCTATAAATTTATAAAAGGATATAAAACAATGCTACTGAACCTTTGTGCACACCTCTAAAAATAACAATGAAAGCATCACTCAACGATCTTCATATTATAGACGTAATCAGAACGAACATTTTTAAAAATTTATTTTTATGTGCTTTACAAGAATACTTATACGTTTGATTAGCTAATTTTATCTTCTATAAAACGGTATAAAACAACGCTATTGCTGTTTTGTGCATATACCTCTAAAAAATATACCTCTAAAAAATTTCATTCCCTTTTTAAAAGTGGAGCCATGAAACCATGTCCATGTTTTCTGCCATGCACGAAAACCTTCATTTGCAAAATTTCGAGTCAAATTGAAATCAAGTCTTGAAATCAATCAAAAATTTATCTCTCCTCTTTTCATATCTTTTCGAGACCGGAGCGGGTTGAAACCATGCCTACATTTTCCGTTGTACCTAAAATCGTTTATATATAAAATTTCAAGTCAATTAGTTAATCTGTTTTTGAGTTTATAAAAGTTAAACAAACATACAAACATTTATTCATACATATACAATTACACCTATCCCCCGATTTACACGGCACTTGTTTTACACGTTTTCGCTTTTACACGGTTTTCCAAATAAGTTTTTTTTTGTTTTCATCGCACTCTACTAAATGCTACTGTGATTGAACACGTGCGCTGTGTACACATCTCAGGGGTACCCCGAGCTTATATGCTTACTTGATATGCTTTATTATAACTATTTTTTTTTGATAACTATTTATGAACTTGAAGAAATGAATGTAAGCATTCCTTTATATATTTCTGTATTTATGAACGAACAGTACAATATGGTCGGCTTTAAATGTATGCTGCTTTTTTCTTTTGTTTTTTATTCAAAAACTATTGTTATATTTATAGTATTTTATTATAATTTTAATCGATTACCTTATGTGTAAAACTTTCTCATTTTATATTACCATTTATATTTATTTTATATTTTCATTTTATCTATATATTGTCAGCAATATTTTTCTTTGTTACTTTATTTTAATTCTACTAAATGCAACCAATACTTTCTATATTCATAATTTTATTTTTATTAAAACGAATTAAATTAAATGTTTTTGCCCATTCGGTATTTATAATATTCTTAAAAAGTAATTAAACACGACGCAACTGTTGCAATTTATTGAGATTTATATATTTATTTATTGAGATTTGGTAAATTAAAGACCCCAACAAACAGATTCTGGCTACGCCAACGTGTGCTAATAAAATGTTAGGGAAAAAATGATAATAAAATAAATGGCGTTGTCGGGAAGGTGATGGGCTGAAACGCTTATTGACAAGTTATTCCTTTGATACACAAACACACGCGCAACTACGAATAACATTCGTGAAGTCCTTGTGTCACTTGTTAAATATCACCACATTTCAACTACTACAACGTGTTAAAGATCGGGTTTTGTGTAGGTCGATAATCTTGAAAGGATAAGGCACGAGAAAAAAGAAAAATTTCAATTTGTAGGCTCTGATGATGACAATTGTTGTCCGCTGCACTATGACAAATCTCAATAAATACAAATTGAAACAGTTGCGTCGTGTTGAATTACTTTTTAAGAAGATTATAAATACCAAATGGTCAAAAACATTTAACCTAATTTTTTTTTTTTTTAATGAAAACCTCGTTTCGAAATTTTATTTTCATAGTTTCATACCTTGCATGTTGTTATTTTCTCTGCGTTTGACAGAGTAGGATTTACAGTATTAAAAAAAGAATATCATTATTTAGTATTTAACAAATACGCATTTACAGGGAGAAATATAAATTTTCAAATTAACGCAAGAGATATATAAATTTTTAATGCATTCAAATAAGCAAAACCAAATTTAAAATTTTTGAACAGGTTTCACTTAATTGTTTCGAATTTCAGCACTTATTTACAGTTGGAGTCAATTCAATGTCTTATTTTCAGGTTAAATATTTTTCTACACATAAAAATGTTTTTTACGAATGTTTCACTCTCACACACACACACACCACACACACACGCACGCACACACACATATGTATATATAAATAGATCGTTCTAATCACCCTCGCCACTTTGTTGTATATATATATACACGTATATATAATTATTTATCTAAAATTTTTTATTAGAATTTCTTGTTCTTTTTTGAATTTATTGGTATATGTTTTTAATAATATTAAAACTATATTAATACTAATCAATAAATTAATTAATAATGCGCTGACGATGACGGTTTAACGAAGAAATCAATCTATCTGCAATAATTTTGATAAAATGTTTGATAAAAATTTTAAATAGACACAATTTTGTTGATAAAAATTTACTAAGACAAATTCGAATATAAGTTGATAAACACTAATAAATCGGTGGAATTTATTACATATTGTCAAGAATTCGGTCTTCTATATATATATATATATATATATATATTTATATATTGACAAGAATTCGGTCTTCTATCATATATATATATATATATATATAACAATATAAATAAATATATATATATATATATATATTTATATTGTTACAGAACAACAAAAAAGGTTTCTAATTATTATTAAACGAAACTTGTAATTACGAAATTTAATAAAAAGAATAACAAAAAAAATCGCTTCGCTAAACAAGCTGTCTATTACAAAAGTTTTCTTGGCCACGATTTCGTCCTCTTTTCTATTTTTAGGGATGTAACAAAGCCCCCTTCTTAAGCCTGTACGTCCAGGACAGACTCATTCCCATAGGGGCACTATGTTGTTATGCAGTATGAGCTGCAAGCAATAAACTTGTTAAAATGGCAAACATGAAGTGCACGAGCGAGCACAGGATTGTCGACTGAGGTTCTTTTCATGTGATAGGTTTGATAGGTGAAACATTTTTAGAAATTTAAATCCTACTGGCAGTGATTTTAATCTATGGGTAAGCAATCATTAACAGCTTTATTAGACATTGATAACCTACTGGAGCCTCCTTGCATAATTCTAATAAATGCGAGACGCCATTGCTTTTCTTGCTTAGTAGAGCGTATATTGGGAGAGATACGATAAAGCAATTCCAGTTTTAAATTCTATGTAATAATCTATATATATTATGTATACTTTTATTAATTTCTTTTATTTGGTCTATGGTTATTATGATAGTATTTTTTTGTTTGTAACTGACATCTATTTACACTTTATTTTTAATTATTTGTACTTATTGTTGGCGCATTCGAAATTTTTTTAAAGCGGTTTATAAATTTTTCAAATAATAATAATAATACAAGCATAATGTATACCAATTTTAATCATACTCCCTTAAGGATCGCTGAAGCTGTCTTCATTTACATCAAACAAATCTAGATAAATACGCTAATGAAAATGTTTACATCTTTACCAACAAGAAAATGAATGATAAAATAAGACACCAACAATCAAGAAACCAACGAACACACACATCTCTTTGTCATTTCACTATATAAATATTTCTGCACTGAAGATGATCAACGCAATCGAAATAGGTTCTATCTGCAAATATGAATTTAAATAATAACTTTTTAAATTTTAATAAGCACTTTTCAATACTTTCCGATTCAATTTCTAATGTTTTACATCCGAATCAAAAAACTCCGCTAAAGCAAAAATTTCCGACTCCTATTTCCTGCTCATAGTGTAGTGCCAATTATTCGCTTGCTTACTACGACTGTTAAGTTAGTTAGTTTAAGTTAGGTTTTTCTCCATTATGACAATTAAATTTTTTTTTCTGTTTTGTTTTTTTTCAATTTATATTATTTAGGAATGTGCTTCCAAACAAGAGGAATTCAGGAAATATCTAGAAGAGAATGGAGTGGTTGACACGTTAACAAAAAGTAATTACATTTTTTTATAATTAATTCCACACCACTCACAACCAATGATATTTTACTTGCATTGATTCCATCTAATTTAATATCACCATTTTCACAATTACCAAAAGCAACTATCTCGTGAACTTCTTATGAACCTTTTTTTTCGTTTTTTTTCGTTTTGAAAGCTCATTTCGTTTCGTTGTTTTCTATTTTCTAAATTCAACCTTGGCTAATTGTCCAACATCGGCTAATTTTTAAAACTCCTGTAACTTGATCAGTCTTTTTTTCACAAGAAACAATTATTTGTTTAACGCAAAACATTTCTTTCAACGCAACGTCCTACCTCGAGAGAACTGGGTCTCTGGACGCTAAACGATGATTGATTGATTTCTTGCAACGCAACAAAGAAGTTTTAGAACTAGAAATAGTTTCATTAATTAATTTACAGAATATGAAAATGCAAGTGAAATGCTTCAGCGAATACCGGGAATGACATTTAAAACCACGAAAAGATTTGAACATATACTTCTAAGCGAAAAACAAATTTAGCGAATATTATTGATAATCAACACATTTCTATAATATTTAAGAATCAGGTCGCTAAATAGAAAAAAGTGCTGGAGCAGATAAGAGATGGTAGATAAATAATAATTGCAAACAAGTACTGATCGAGCAAAACAAAATAAGAAAAGCATATCTGATAAAACAAATGAAAGGAAAACAAACGATCGAACGAACACGTCGCAGAGTATCAAAATCAAAGGTGGAAATATCTTTAGTGAAACCAAATAGGTGAAAGATAGGTGTACAAAATATATTAAAAAATTATTTACAATTAAAAACAAGTACACCAAAGAAATGCTTGAAGCTCTGATGAAAAAGCCAACGAAAAATAAACTGATCTAACGTTAGAAAAATGAAAATAGTAATGGTAATGATGAAATTTCAATTTAATTTATAATATTAAGAGGACTCACTTCAGGAAACTTGGCTAAAGAGCAAATGATCAGAAGTTGTGCAAACCAATCCTTGTTACGTTACCAAAAAATGCACGCAAAAAATTGTGACAATAATCACCGATAGATAGTACTAATATGCAAAATTATACTGACTATCTTAATGTAATAACTGGAAACAAATTAAGAACCTTTCAGAAAAGAAAAAATAGAATCAAGCAAATTCAAATTTAAGATTGATGGAAAGATGAAAATAGTAGCTTAGCGGACAAGCAATTGACTATTTAAATAAATTAAAAAAAATGCATTTGACTTAGTTCTTGCATCTGGCATGAACGATTGCAGCGACTTTATAAAGTATTAAAAGGACTATGAAAATTGAAAATGATTGAGAATTGGCGTAGAACTCGAAGATAGGACTAAAGCAGAAATTACTTATTATCCAATGGTTTATGAAAAAATAAAAACAACAGTAATGGGTGGAATTGATATGAGAGAATTGATATGAGAGAAAGAGGAGAGAGTTTTAAATTGTCAAACGTGTTAATTCCAGTAATGCACTCATAGTTGCCGTGGTTTATAAAGACAAGTGTGTACACTGTACATGTACAAGCCACTGATTCTAATGAGCTAGCGTGCCTATTTGGCAGTTTGTTTCAATCAAAACTATAATTGATTTTCTAACTTCATTTTTTGAAACTTCCTGTAGTTTATTTCTTCGCAACAGGCTTGGTTTGTGCAGTTATACAGGGAGTAGGTATGTTATCCAGGCGGCCAGCGCGTGCAATAATTCCGGTCTGTGTTATTTCTGATTTGTTTTAATTCGGCTGGAATTGAACGGTCTGTACATACAAGTAAGAAGTAATGTAAAAGGATGTAAAAAGTTTCCCCAAAATTTATTCCATGCCATCATAAAAAACAACGGCCTTTAGTCCCCAGCAGGCCTAAGTGGTCAAGGAATGCTAAGAATCCCTGAGAAGTATGCAATAGCGGAGGGATGTTGCAGAAAAATTCAGAATGGCCCCTCTATGGTACTTAGACTTGGAACGCTCAATGTTGGATCACTGACTGGCCGCAGCATGGAAATCGCAGAAATGCTCGAGCGTAGAAAGATTGACAACGTACATGGCGGTTTTGGTTATGAAGAACGGAATGAAGATGGCAACAGCATCCTTGAGTTTGCTGAAAGTCACGGGTTTTGTTTACTGAACTTTAGTAAGAGGTTGGAACATCTCATAACATACATAAGTGGACCATCAACGACGCAAATTGAATTCTTCGCTGTCAAGCAACAACACCGACTCCTTGTAGCAGACCTGGTTGTAGAACTGTCACAACATAACAAATGCCCCGGAGAATCAAAACGTGGAAGCTGAAAAGCAATATTCATCAAGAAAAATTTCAACAGATTGTCGCCACACAGTTAGACCACCAATCGCAATCCAGTACAGATTGGAGTACATACAAAACCGTTTTCATAAACGCTGCAACTACAGTTTGTGGGAAAACTGGTACAAAACACCAGCATGAACGGGACATGTTGTAATGGAATGACAGTGTACAAAATGCAATAGCTGAAAAGAAAGCTGCATACAAGCAATGGCAAAAATCAATGTCTGTTGATGACCACAAAATTTTCCGTGAGAAGAACAACTATGCAAAACGTCAAGTCGCGTTGGCTCGGATAGATCAGTGCGGAGAGTGGCTCACTAAAAGCAAAGGTGAACAAAATGAAATCTTTGTATCGTATAGCAAAACAAGCAAAGCGTACGAAAAAAGACATAGTTGGTGCCTCATTTATCAAAAACGATGCAATGGGAAAAATGGGATGATTCTTGAACAAGATGAGATCAAGCTACAGTGGAAAGAATATTTCAACAGTCTGTTAAATGAAACAAATCCCATCAATGTCAACATTGACACTCCACTCATCGTAGGTCAGACATCACTGTAGAGGAGCTTACACCAAGGCTCGATTCTCAGTCCACTGTTATTTATAACTGTGATGGAAGAAATCACAAAGCCTATACGCGCTGGTGACATTTGGAATCTAATATATGCTGATGATATTGTTTTAACAGTCACGTCTAAGCAGAATGCAGCACAAATGTTTGAAGATTGGAACACCAGACTGGCCGATCATGGATTCAAAGTCAACATCAGCAAAACCCATCCAATCCACAGCTACTGGACGATGGCCCTGTTCAGTTTGTAAAGCTGGTGTAGGTAACAATTCAATCAAGTGTCAGCAGTGGTGTCACAAACATTGTTCAAAAATAATTGGTAATTTATATAAAGTGTCCAATTTTGTTTGTCCTGCTTGCATCAATGTTTTTGAAGCCATTAAGATAGAGAAAGTCCTCTATATTGATGCGGCGTGATATCCCACTACCACTACGATCAAGACTTTATAAATCTGTGATGTTATATGGTGCAGAAACATGGCCAATGACAACCAAACTGGAATAACAACTTCACCGAACCGATATGAAAATGCTCCGATGGATGCAACGAATTAGTCTGGAGTACATCAAATCAACCGAAATCCTGCTTCACTCTGGTTTAGATGATATAAAGGACGAATGCCGGCAACACCGTCTGAGGTGGTTTGGTTACGTCAAACGAGATGGAAACAGTGCCATAACTTTTCTTGCAGATGTTGAAGTACCTGGCACACATCCCAAAAGCCGTCCAAAGAAGTCCTGGTCGCAAACATTCGAGCAAGACATGAAAGTTCTAAATTTAAATGAAATGGATACAACTGATCGCCTAATTTGGCGCAAAAAAAAATGATGACAAAGGAAACTACCTCGGAGAACTGGGTCTCTGGACGCTAAACGAAGATTGATTGATTGCTAAGATGTTACTAAGCTGTTGGCTGCACAACAAAATTTATTTCATTTCATATAATTTTACTATAACTAATATGGTATTATTATAACCGCTGCAATGGTCAAATGGTGCTATATTGTTTTCTTGATTATTTGTTACTTTTGCCATATTTGTAATCTTTTGATTGTAAAAATTTACCGTAGAGGCTATAATAAGATCCTGCGAAGACAAGTTTACAGGAAAGGTTTGATGCGAAGTTGTTATTGTGATTTGTGTAGTTACTTTGATTAGTTACGTGTTTCTATTATCGTTGGCATTCAAATAAACGTTCCACAAAGTTCGCGTTTGTAGCAGTTGTGTTCATCTATCGGAAATCCTGAACCTACAAAATAACGAACACTTGATGATCGTTGAAAGCTACAACACTGGTGTTGGAAATAAAGAGATCTTTCAGGTTATAACATGGGTGTTGATAATTACGAGCGTTAAAGGTTACAACAATGTAACAAAACATATACCAAATAATATCATATAACATAAATCCTTTCTATCTGACTTTTCATTAAAAATGTGCAGTTTGTTCCGTGTCAGAGTAAAACGGCAAGTCGACACATAAAACCAATAAAATAATCATTCACTAAACAGAATACAAAGCTGTCTAGAAAATTGAATATGTCTGTTTCGTGTGTGTAGACAAAAACCGCGTTCAGACAAATCCGCGTTTATTTGCCTGCGCATGCAAGCCTTAGCAAAACGGGAGCGTGCGTAGTAGGGTGATTACAACGATATAGGTGAAATTTTTTTAGTTATTAATTTAACACCTCCTTCAGTTATATTCACTGAACCATATAGTTTATTGTTTGGATCATTTAAAGCCACGAATTCATTTACAATTTTTTAACTTATAACTAATTTTTGTAGATTTTCATAATTTGGGATTAATAAGCAAAGTTTCATGTCAATATTGAATATCTTAAAAAATTAATTATGGCAAAATAAAATGATGGTCTTTGTAATATTTCAGATATTTAATTTAATTGATGGTTTTATTTCGCAGTGGTCATCAATTTTTTAATTTTCGTTATCTAGAAATACCCCATCTTGAATTCTGTGCTCAAGTTTGGAGCCCAGATATGTAAAAAGACAAAGACATTTTGGAGAAAGTACAGCGGAGAGCAAATGACTTACAAATCTTGAATACAAAGATATATTGAAAAAATGTGGATTGACAACACTGGAAACAAGAAGATGCAGAGGAGATCTGATACAGGCATACAAATTGATTACCAAGAATGAAAAACACGGTTTACCAGATTTTTTCAACTGGAGAATAGTATAGGATTACGAGGCCACAGATACCAGATCTCCAAAAAATAGAAAGTGCCGTCAAGCAAAGATTCTTCAGCAGCAGAGTGGTAAACAAGTGGAATGATCTGAGTGATGAGACGGTCTCCGCGGAATCAATCAACAGTTTCAAGATCAAGCTCGGAAAGTTAGGATATTAGGACACTTATCTCGCAGTGATTCTCACATAGACTCTAATCTACCGAACCACTTTAAACCCTGTTATATGTTTGATTGTTATTTCCCTTTTTATGCAATAAATTAAGGAGTTGTCAAAAAATAAGAAAGCTTGAGGATCATTATAAATGGTTGATGATTGTTGAAAATAAACTGAAATATGTTTATAAATTTTCTTGTAATTTACTAAATATTTTTTCAACTGTAAATATTGATTTTGTATGTGCAAATGCTGGTATTGGGACGCCAAACTTTACACTAAATATTTTTGATAAATAAGCAAATATCGTTAAACCATTTTTTCTAATTCTATCAAACTAAATTGTTTGCTGGAGAGGTAACTTTTTAATCAATATGCTACCTCCGTCATATCTACCTTGCTTGAAGCAGAGCATCAGAAGCTGCAAAAACGATGTACCTTGAAGGGAAGCATCCAACACTAATAAGCAGTATCAACTCCTTGTAGTCAGTTATTCAATGCTAAATTGTTAGATGCATGTAACCAATTTTAAGAATTTGTATTTCTGTCTGAACATGCCTTAGTGCAGTGATCCACATCTGATATCGCTCTAAATGTCAAATAAGTCTGTAGTGTATCGAATGATAAATGACAACCGCAGACTTATTAACCTATGAAAATATTGTACATTTTAGATAGTTTTTAATAATGATTGAAGTAAAACATGTTAACTAAACGTTTTAATTAAATGAAGTTAATAAATTGTGAAAACAACGATTTCAAAAATATATAAATTTAAGTTCAAGACGCAAAGTCATTTTAATAAATACTCATGGCTTTCAAAGTATGCCGGTTCCAACAATTGTACATTGTGCGTTTGTTAGCCACTAAAAAGCGCTTTCAAACAAAGAAATAACGCTTTTTAAGTTTCAGTTCAAAAATATTTATATAATTAATATAACTACTTTTAATACATTCGTTCTACATTTTCACAAATGCAGTACTTGTCTGTCTGTACGAGGAACCAGACAAGCCGAAAGACGCTATTGGGTTGTTTGTTTTTTAGCGCAATGATGTATCGAACATAATTTTCTAAAAATATATTTAAGGTTTATCAAGCAACACATCGGCATAACAGGACCTGACACTGCTGACATCAAAGCGCTTCAACTTGAAATAAGTGAATTAAGAAACAAGGTTGAGGAATTAATTGAGGAAAATTGTTCATTAAAATCCAAGGTAACTTGTTAATTACTATTATAAATGGCGCAAAAAATTAATACAATAAAAGATACTATAATTCTTCTAGATATCGCAAAATGAAAAAATCTGAGAATACAGAATTCCCGTTTAACTGCAAAAATATAAAACTGATATACCAGAGTTTGAAATTTTATTTTAAAATTTTCAGTACAATTAATGTTTTTTTAATTTAAAATTTATTTAAAATTTTGACATACGCATGATGTTGGTTCTTCAACTTCTAAAAATTTGAAAATATTTATTAACGTATATCACTCGACTGATTTAACACCAAAAAGACCGAGAATGAACAACTCAGCTGACAGATTATTGCAGCACTAATCCAACCTGCAATTAATTTATGTTACATGATTAAATAAAATATTTTCAGGTTGAAAATAACAGTGTTTTTCAAATAGAGTGCATCGATCAAGCATTGCAACAAATCACATGTAAAAGCGATTTGTGAAATTTTGTTATTTATTCGTTCATTGATGAAAAATTTGTGTCGAATACAAATTAATGTAATAGATTAATAGTTTATAAAAAAGCATTATAATATCGTGAAATATTCTTAACATAGTATATACTAGTATATACTAGAGTCCCAAGCGGATAACCGCGGTTGCGGGTTCAAGCGCGTTTTTAAAAAACCTCCGGCAAAATTAAATTTTGTTTTTCTTTTGTTTGCATATATGTACATGTGTGAGTATGTATGTGTATTTAATCACCATAGCTGAGTCTCTCTAGGGTCCACGATAATAAAGCCAAGCGAGCAGTTTCTACTAATTACTTCAGTAAATTTGAATAAAGAAAGTTAGTTCAATGTTATTTATACATGTTCACACAAACACATACACACACACATATGTATATGTAAATGAGTGTGCATATGCGTGTTATACAAAACGTATGTGTGAAGTGTACCTATCTTTGATACTTAACACAAGTGTTATCACCGTATATACACATATACGATACACACATACGTATAAACAAATTAGCATACATATTTCTGCATTTGACACGGTTGATAATGCGGTGCTTTTAAAAAGATTATCGGTTGATTCTTGCACGTGTTAATTTTTACATAATTTCATATTCTTTTTAAAAATTTAATTTATTATATAATTTTGAACTATAATATAATTCGCGGATTAATTTACTTGAACTTTCACGCACGGGTTAGTGTTAATCATTATCGTTATAGTGTTTAGAAATTAGAATGGATTTTTATTTGTACAAGTTAAATTTAATTATGTTGTTAGGCGTTAGGTTTACAATTAATAGAATATAACTTTATTTAATTTTTAATTTAATCTCAAACCTAAATTTGAAAGACGTAAATGTTAAAACTATTTTGTCTTTCTAACTTTATATAAACTAAAAATTTAAAACTTGTTTTATTAACTGCAGAAAAAATTAAAAAACGGTTTACAAATGCTCAATATTTAGATGTAGAACTGGTTATGATGAGGCCACGAATAATGGAATCAGCATGCATGGATATCTTTTTTATGATCCAGAGCTTTGCAGCAATGGGTGAGAGCAAATCCTCGCCAAGATTTTGAACCAACTAAATATTCAAAAGTTTGCTCATTGCATTTTCAAACAAGTGATTTTACATATGAATTAATAGATTCTAATCACGGAAGGAAAAAAGCAAGGTCAAATAAAAATGTAAAACATTTAAAACCAGAAGCTGTCAAAAACTTGGGTGTGATGTTTGACATGCTTTGACGATGCTGCCTCAGGTTGCGAAACTCAATGCTATCTGCTTTCTTCAGCTACGAAGATTGTATCTGGTCAAGAAATGTCTTCCAGTTGATATTTTTACTAACCTGGTGGTGACTTTTGTACTGTCTAGATTAGTTGCTGTATGGTGCTGGTGTAGGGGTAGTAAATATAGTTCAAGGAATCCAGGACGCTGCCGCCAGATTAGTCATTGGTCTAAGTGACGTGATCACATTACAAAGTGGTTGGAAAGTCTCCACTGGCTACCGACAGATGTGTGCAGGTTGCTCTGCCTAAGGTATGGAATTTTCCAAACAAGATTGAAGCAAATTGTTTCAGAAAAAGATTTCAGAAGAGAGTTAAAAAGTTATTTGTTCAACAAAGAATTTAATCACAGTACAATCCTCTGAGGAACGTCAATACAGTGAATAGCATAATAATAATAATAATAATAATAATAATAATAATAATAATAATAATAATAATAATAATAATAATAATATATGTACTGCACATACGACCAACACATATATTATGATTTTTATTATATATACATATATATATAACATAACTTGTTAATGCTGAATCGTCGGTGGATTTTTTGAACAACTATATATATATATATATATATATATATATATATAGATACATGTATAAACACATATATATATGTGCCCAAGGTATGGAATGATCTTCCAAACAAGATTGAAGCAAATTGTTCCAGAAAAAGATTTCAGAAGAGGGTTAAAAAGTTATTTGTTCAACAAAGAATTTAAGACCGTCAGAAATGCAATTATTGATGAAAATCACAGCATGTTCGGCTTTTCTGTTCTATCATGCATAAAATAAACACAAATTTTGGTTTTGAACTAAAGAAACTTGAAAATGATTTACGATCAACCGTTAGAAAAATCGAAAAGTGAAATTGGAAGTTAACAAACGGCGAACAACAGGCTGTGATTTTCATCAATAATATATATATATATATATATATATATATATATCGGTAGAATTTATAGAATATTATATATATATATATATATATATAACATAATATAACATGTTCATGAATAATTAGCTTGTTTGAGTTCTTCATCGTCGTTTATTTTGTACTCGTTGATCTGGCCGATGTTATTTCAATTATTCAATTATAAATTTATTAAATTGAAAGATACCTTCTCAGCAATTTTTTCTGCTGTCTGATTATAATATATATAATTATATTGTAAATAGATTGCCTTACAGTGTTGCTGTTTTCTAATTTTAAACATGAGATTAAGACGGGTGATTTAGATTGCCTTTTCGCGGGTGCGGTGCGGATGCAGTGCGGACAATGAGCAGTGCGGATGCGGGCGGTTGCGGACGTGAAGTCTGCGAATGCGGGTGGTTGCGGACGTGAAGTTTGCGAATGCGGATGGTTGCGGACGTGAACTCTGCGGATGCGGGCGGTTTGAAAAAAATCTTCTCTGCCTGGGGCTCTATTATATACATTGCATTATTTGGAACTGAAAAAACGACCTCAGTAACAATGCAACAAAAACTTTAAAAAACGCTAATCTATAAAAACTTCCGATTAAAATTGAACTAAAACTCGAACAAAAAACCTTTTCAGTAGGCATTTCAGGACATTTCCAGTTGTAGAGATAATATTGCAAATTTCCATCCCCAGCCCCAAATTTTAACTTATCAAGGAAGACTTTGTTGTCCATTAAATCCAAAGCATTGAAAACATCAAAATCCAGCTAAAAATTATTTAAAAAACGTCTCATAATTAGCTTTTTAAAACAATAAGTGAAAAAACAGAAAAGAAATTCTTAGGGAAATATCGTGCAGATTGGCAATTTTGAAGTAGTTACCAACAGTTTCAAATTTTTTTTCACATTGAACGTCGTGATTATTAGTATGAAAATTTTTTGAACTTTTGTAATCATAGATAAGTGAGTAGCAGGACCGCTGCCACACAGTGATAAACAATAAATTAAGTAAGGATATATAAGCAAGAAGTAGAGCAGCTTCAAAATGTGAATAGAAAGTTTCATTTTACAGAGAATACTAAGATTTTTTAGAGATTTTAATTGTTAAAAGCCTAATGTGATCAAGCCAAAAAAGATATGAGGCAATAATTAATTCTATGAATTTTGTAATAGGTAACTTTTTAATAGTGGTGTCTTTGATTTCAAAATCAAACCGAAAGATTTAGCATTTATATCTGTTGTCATCTGTCTAGGATCTTTAACCTTTATTTAGTTTGTTTCATTATTTAAAAACAGGAGAATTATAGAAAGAAGAAACGAAGATTGTACATGTGTTTTGTGGATCTAGAAAAGGCTTTTGATCGAGTACCGAGGAAGGTCATTGAATGGGCGTTGAGGAAGAAAGGAGTGAATGAGAGAATTGTTAAAGCTGTGATGCAGCTGTATGAAGGGGCAAAGACAAAGGTGAGGGTTGGAAGGGAGATGTCGGACGCTTTTAGTGTTAAGGTAGGAGTGCATCAAGGATCAGTGTTATCACCGTTTATGTTTGCAATTGTGATGGATGTTGTGTGTGGAAACATAATGGAGGGGTTGTTATTTGAGATTTTGTATGCAGATGATTTAGTCTTGATGGCTGATAGCATGGAAGAATTGCAGATGGAAAAGTGTTATTGAAAAGAAAGGGTTAAAAGTTAATATTGGTAAGACGAAGGTAATGGTGAGTGGGGAAGGTGGGGAGCGAGTGATAAGTAAAATAGACCCCTGTGGGGTATGTGACAGGAGAGTGAAGGCTAACTCGGTATTGTGTATAGGTTGTTGGAAGTGGGTGCATAAGAGATGTAGTGGTGTGAGGGGGGGCACTGAAAAAGGTGGAAGGCACGTTCAAATGTAAGAAATGTGTTCATGGTGTGATTAATAGGACGGACGCAAGAACGGGGTTGAGTGGTGGTATTGAAAGAGTGGAAAGCTTTGTTTACTTAGGGGATAAGCTGAACGCGGATGGAGGATGTTTGAGCGCAGTTACGGCTAGAGTTCGTGTGGGATGGATGAAATTTAGGGAACTGGGTGGGGTATTGTGTGGAAAGAAATGGTCAGTGAAGATGAAAGGGAAGGTATATAAAGCATGTGTGAGAGCAGCGATGGTATATGGTGGTGAAACTTGGGTGTTGAGGATAGAGGAGGAAACTGTACTGCAGAGGGCTGAAAGAGCTATGGTGAGGATGATGTGTGGGGTTAAAGTGAAGGATAGGAGGAGTAGTACAGAGCTGATGTCAATGATGGGACTGAATGAGGACATTGTGACATTGATAATGAAATCGAGATTGCGATGGTATGGACATGTGTTGAAAAGGGATGAAAGGGTCGGGCGAGCGTTGGAGTTGGAGGTTGAAGGAGTGGTAGGAAGGGGTCGTCCGCGAATGGGATGGAGAGAGCAAGTGGAGAAGGACAGGGTGAAAGCGGGGTTGCGTGATACTTAGGCGAGTGACAGATGTGGATGGCGTCGAGGGGTATTTCGGTTTCATCATAGGTAGCCAAACGGCAACCCCCGATCTCGGGGAAAATGTCGTCTAAACGTGTGTTGTTCATTATTTAAAAACATCAAAATGTAGCCACAAAGTCTTGAAAAAATTTAAAATAATTAACAGGCACAAAATTTGTAAATAAAACTAACATTTTTGGCAGCAATGAGAGCATCATTCATAAGGTTTGTGAGAGGCGTGTGAGTTGAAACGTTGTAAAAAGAGTATGCAGCTTTCAAAGATTTGTGAACTGGATGGTGCATTACTGTTGACGGTAACGTGTAAAAACTTACAAAATCAACTATTTCACCATCGTTCTGCAATTGTTGCGTTCATAATTCACTGTTAAAATTCACCGTCAAAAAGAGGACAAAAAATCAAAACAATTACTAGAACTTATTCACATAGCTATAAAATATTCATATACCAGCATGACAAACATACCGCAACTACGTAAGAGTCGACAATGTCAGCTTTTGGCATAAACCAATGTTGAAATTCCTCTATAGTGAAAGTTGGGGCAAGATCAAACTTTTCCAAAAACTGGAAAATCAAAGTATCGAATGCTAAATTTGGATTGTATATCATAAGCAATTGAAATAAGTTTACTTTAAAAACAAAAATTTTTCAAAAGCATATAACATTTGTAAAACAATGAATGCAAATGACTGTTAATGTGAAGCATAAGTAACAACCTTTGCTAGTAACAGATGGGCCTTTACAACATCTGAGTTTGTCATCGGTCTGAAGCCAAAAGTCAATGGTTGCTGGGTGAAAAAAGTGTTTAAACATTTCATAAAGATAAAAAACTTGGTTGATTATCAAAAGAAATATTGCTAATGTGAGATTAAAATAGTCGATGAAAAGGACAAATCATATTGAAATAACGCTGGTAGCAGAAAAAATAAGCACACATTTGAAAAGTTAATTTTTATGAGCGTTAATACATTACTGTTGATAACAATATATCACATCATATATAATACTATATAACATCATCTGTTATTATCATAGAAGTTTGTGAAGAGTACTCCCAATGGAGGGCCCATTGCTACACCGTCAATCTGCTGATATAGAGTGTTACCCTGGCCAACAAAAGGCGCTTCGGCAGTACATATTCCTAGCAGCGCAACTAATTTATCTTTTAGAATTGGTAGTGGTGAATGACTGGAATTGTATATTTTATCTATTATTATGCTGGTTGTGTTCTCTACAGGGACATTTGTAAAGAGTGACTCCACATCCCTGTAGAGAACAGAACTAGATAGAATCACTAAACTACTCATAAATAATGGATATAAAAATTCCATGATCCAGAAAATAATTGAACGCAAAGAACAAAAAATCGGCAACAACAACAACAATGCAACCAACAATAGTAATAAAAATAACACAGTAATATATTATAAAAATCGCATGTCAACCGCTTTCAAACAGGATGGAAAAATCATGAAAAGAATCATAAAAAATAACGTCCAAGCAATCAACGATAATGCTAGTATTAAACTACGAAAATACTACTCCAACCAAAGAACGTCATCTCTTGTGATGAAAAACAAAAGCACTAGTAAACTAGAATCGATAATGGATCATAGCCATCTAATATATTTGTTCAAATGTAATATTGGTGAGTGTGGGCACCATAATTCTGAATATATAGGTATGACGACGACCATGTTATCGAGAAGAGTCACTATGCACGTACAAACTGGCGCTATAAAAAATCGCATGAAAGAAAAATCAATCAATCTTCGTTTAGCGTTCAGAGAACCAGTTTCCCAGAGGTAGGACGTTGTTTTCTCTGTCATCAATTTTTTTCGCCAAATTAGACGATCAGTTGTATCCATTTCATTTAAATTTAGAGCTTTCATGTCTTGCTCGATTGTATGCGACAGGACTTCTTTGGAAGGCCTTTGGGACGTGTGCAAGGTACTTCAACATCTGTAAGAGAAGTTATGGCACTGTTTCCACTTCGTTTGACATGACCAAACCACCACAGACGGTGTTGTCGGCATTCGTCCTTTATATCATTTAAACCAGCACGACGCAGGATTTCGGTTGATTTGATGTGGTCCTTCAGACTAATTCGTTGCATCCATTGCTTTGACATATCGGTTCGTTGAAGTTGTTGTTCCAGTTTGGTTGTCATTGGCCATGTATCTGCACCATATAACAACACCGGACGTATCACAAATTTATAAAGTCTTGATCGTAGTGGTGGTGGGATGTCACGCCGCATCAATATAGAGGCAAGGAGATGCCATTTATTCCAGGCAGCACGTATGCGTGCTCGAACGGCAGCTTCAGCTGTTCCAGTACAACCAAGAACATCCCCTAGATATTGAAACGATGTGACTTTCTCTATCTTAATGGCTTCAAAAAATATTGCTATTTTGAATTTGTTGTTGTGAATTGATGCAAGCAGGACAAACCAAATTGGACACTTTATATAAATTACCAATTATTTTTGAACAACGTTTGTGACACCACTGGTTACACTGCTGACACTTGATTGAATTGTTACCTACACCAGATTTACAAACTGAACAGGGCCATCGTCCTGTAGCTGTGGATTGGATGGGTTCACCATTGTTCATTGCTTTGGTTTTGCTGATGTTGACTTTGAATCCATAATCGGCGAGTCTGGTGTTCCAATCTTCAAACATCTGTGCTGCATTCTGCTCAGACGTGGCTGTTAAAACGATATCACCAGCATATATTAGATTCCAAATGTCACCAGTGCGTATAGGCTTTGTGATTTTTTCCATCACAGTAATAAATAACAGTGGACTGAGAATCGAGCCTTGGTGAACTCCAACGCCGATGTCAAATGCATCTGTGTTTCCAACCGTTGTGCTGACGAGAGTCTTTGTATTCGTTTACATTTTCATCACAAGTCGAACAAGATATTCTGGAATGAGTTGTAGACGTAGACTCCACCTGATTGCTTCACGGGGAGCTCGATCAAATGCTTTTTCAAGGTCTACAAAATTGTGTGATAGTTGTTGATGCTTTGCGAGGTACTCCTCTTGCAGTTGGCAAAGGATGTGAATTGCATCAATTGTTGATTTCCCCGCTAGGAAACCAAATTGATAATTTCCGATTGTGATGCACGACGTTAATCATCTCTCAATGATTTTCTCGAAAATTTTCAGGGACTATTCTAACAGACGTATACCCCGATATGATGAACATTTCAATGGATCAGCTTTGCTTTTGTATAGCGGAACTGTCATGATATAGTTCCATTCAGTCGGCATTTAGCAATTTCTCCACACTTCACGGCAAAGTTGTAGTAACGTTTGGATACCTGGAATCGGACCTACGATGGGTGGAGTGTCAAAGTTGACATTGATGGGATTTGTTTCATTTAACATACGGTTGAAATATTCTCTCCACTGTAACTTGATCTCATCTTGTTCAAGAACCATCTCATTTTTGTCGTTTTTAATACATGAGGCACCAATTATGTCTTGTTTCGTACGCTTTGCTTGTTTTGCTATACGATACAAAGATTTCATTTTGTTCACCTTTGCTTTTAGTGAGCCACTCTCTGCACTGATCTGTCCGAGCCAGTCCGACTTGACGTCTTGCATAGTTGTTCTTCCCACGGAAAATTTTAATATCATCAATAGACTTTGATTTTTGCCATTGCTTGTATGCAGCTTTCTTTTCAGCTATTGCATTTTGTACACTGTCATTCCACCACCAAGAGTCCCGTTCATGCTGACGTTTTGTACCAGTTTTCCCACAAACCTTAGTTGCAACGTTTATCAAAATGGTTTTGTATGTACTCCAATCTGTACTGGCTTGCGATTGGTGGCCTAACTGTGTGGCGACAATCTGTTGAAATTTGTCTCGATGAATATTGCTTTTCAGCTTCCACGTTTTGATTCTCCGGGGCATTTGTTTAGACTTAAGTTGTGACAGTTCGGCGACACATGATTCGCCATGTATAATTTTGACATTTTCGAATAGCCTTCGGTGTTGTTGCTTGACAGCGAAGAAATCAATTTGCGCCGTTGATGGTCCACTTTTGTATGTTATGAGATGTTCCAACCTTTTTCTAAAATATGTGTTCAGTAAACAAAACCCGTGACTTTTAGCAAACTCAACGATGCTGTTGCCATCTTCATTCCGTTCTTCATAGCCAAAACGGCTATGTACGTTGTCAAAACAATGTTTTTCTCCAACGTGGCCATTGAAATCGCCTCCAATCAGGATTGTTTCTGATTTTGGTATCGTTGAGATGGTGTCAGAGAACGCATGGAATAAATATTGGGGAAACTTTTTACATCCGGACACCCATCCTGAAGACAACCACCAGTTATAAGCGGTGGGCCTAGCCTTTTGCTCAAAAGCACGCAAGGCAGCGTGGATGCAGTTTTATGTCATGCCCAGGACTTTTTATGTCATGCCCAGGACTATTTTTTACATCATACATGAAAAAGAAACACAAAACTAAAATTACTAGACAAATCTTGGACCACAACGTTGAAATCATACATTACAACAACAACCATTATAATTTACAATTCTAATAACCCACCAGATTTTTGACAAAAACACAACAACAACAGCAACAAACAACAACAACAACACACGTTTAGACAACATTTTCCCCGAGATCGGGGGTTGCCGTTTGGCTACCTATGATGAAACCGAAATACCCCTCGACGCCATTCACATCTGTCACTCGCCTAAGTATCACGCAACCCCGCTTTCACCCTGTCCTTCTCCACCTGCTCTCTCCATCCCAATCGCGGACGACCCCTTCCTACCACTCCTTCAACCTCCAACTCCAACGCTCGCCTAATCCCGACCTTTTCATCCCTTCTCAACACATGTCCATACCGTCGCAATCTCGATCTCCTTATCAATGTCACAATGTCCTCATTTAGCCCCATCATTGACATCAGCTCTGTACTACTCCTCCTATCCTTCACTTTAACCCCACACATCATCCTCACCATAGCTCTTTCAGCCCTCTGCAGTACACTTTCTTCCTCTCTCCTCAACACCCAAGTTTCACCACCATATACTATCGCTGCTCTCACACATGCTTTATATACCCTCCCTTTCATCTTCACTGACCATTTCTTTCCACACAATACCTCACCAAATTCCCTAAATTTCATCCATCCTACACGAACTCTAGCCGTAACAGCGCTCAAACATCCTCCATCCGCGTTCAGCTTAACCCCTAAATAAACAAAGCTTTCCATTCTTTCAATACCACCGCTCAACCCCGTTCTTGCGTCCGTCCTATTAATCACACCATGAACACATTTCTTACATTTGAATGTGCCTTCCACCTTTTTCAGTGCCCCTCTCACACCACTACATCTCTTATGCACCCACTTCTGACATCCTATACACAATACCGAGGTTAGCCTTCACTCTCCCGTCACATACCCCACAGGGGTCTATTTTACTTATCACTCGCTCCCCACCTTCCCCACTCACCATTACCTTCGTCTTACCAATATTAACTTTTAACTCTTTTTTTTCAATAACACTTTTCCATCTGCCAAATTTTAACTGCAATTCTTCCATGCTATCAGCCATCAAAACTAAATCACCTGCATACAAAATCTCAAATAACAACCCCTCCATTATGTTTCCACACACAACATCCATCACAATTGCAAACAAAAACGCTGATAACACTGATCCTTGATGCACTCCTACCTTAACACTAAAAGCGTCCGACATCCCCCTTTCGACCCTCACCTTTGTCTTTGCCCCTTCATACAACTGCATCACA